AGTCAAGGTCGACGACATCCTCTGCCTGCTCGAGTCCGAACGCGAGGCCCGCCGTCTCCGTTAATTTCCTTTACCAACTCCGAGTTTTCGTCAACATCTTTTTCCCTCTCGAGGCTATGTACCCTTGCTTGCGTTGGAAATGATTCTGGGAGGTCGGGAAGGCAAAAAAGAACTATCTTATCTTATGGGCTGATGCGGCATCCGGGTTGTTGTGACTTCGTTGTCCTTTTGTTGTTTTTCTTATCATTCCTGTCTGTGTGTCCAGAATCATCCTTGCACTACTGGACTTCATATAGAGAGAAAGAGAGAAACAAGAGAAAACGAGGCTATCAACCTGAAATACAAAAAACGAAGGAAAAAAATTTGAAATCCCACGGGCGCGAGGTGATCTTCTATTCATCAAGTCTCTGTCTAGATTACCCCTTTTCTTAATTTCTTTTTCCCTCGTGTTGTACGCACGATGCACTCGAATCGGATGGAGCTTTGTGAACATGCTCAATTGGACCGTAGGTGGTATCAGGGGAATACGGTCTGCGAAGGCAACTATATCTTGTGCCGGTATTTCGTGAGTCCTAGCCTAAGATACACATGTCCATTCCACCTGTTGCCCATCGTAGATATTATTGCCATAGATGTATAAGATGAAGGAAACAGCAGTGTGGGGGCCCCGCTTATATGAGCCATTCAATTGATATTCATAAATCTTATATGTCTCAAATCCTAACAGTTTCTTAATGCAATGCCGGCAATACGCTCATGTCAGATAGAAAGGGCAGTAACAATCTATAATATTCTCTCCCCACCAAGTGCTTATCAACTACAGCTGCTCTGCGCTGCTGATGAGGCGCTCAATCATATTTTCATCCTTGGAGCCTTCAATGACCTCTCCGACGGCCGTCACAAGACCAGCCAGTTTCCGCCGGCGGATTTTCTCCTCCAATTCTTTACTCTTCTGCCGGGCTTGGTCCAGCAATGGCCCTGGCAGGTTTGCTAACCGCGCGACATTCAGCCCGTAGCTGCGGTGTGCCACGCCTTCACCTACCTCATAGAGGAATGTGATCTCTTCGTCTGTTCCGGTACCCGACTCAGTGAAGCGCATGTGCACGTTGCGTAATTCTTGGTCTGCGAAGGAATGGACCATTGAAGAGAGGTGTTGATAATGCGTGATGAAGAGGGTAAGGCTCCGAATCGACCGTACCATGTAGTCAAGGACAGCTTGTGCAATTGCAACGCCATCATGGGTTGACGTACCCCGGCCCAGTTCATCCAGAATGACAAGTGACCGTGGAGTCGCTTGCTTGAGTATGTCAGCGGTTTCGGAAAGCTCGACCATGAAGGTAGACTCGCCAGCTAGCATGTTGTCGAAAGCACCCATGCGTGTAAACACAGCGTCCAACATACCAAGCTTGGCAGACTGCGCGGGAACATAAGAGCCTATTTGCCCCATGATGGCAATAAGAGCTACTTGCCGTACATAGCTGGACTTTCCGCCCATGTTGGGCCCGGTAACCAGAAGAGCGCGTGTCTTGTCGCTGTCCAGGTCGATGTCGTTTGGTACATAGCTGTCCAGCAGTAGCTGTTCGACCATTGGATGACGTCCCTGGTCTACTTGGATGCACGTATGGTCCGTATATTCGGGCTTCACATATCCCGGTTGACTAGCTATAGTCGCCAGAGCTATCAGGCAGTCAAGCGTGGCCAATGCCTGCACACTATCCCTGAAGGGCTGGTATTTGGTTGCTATATCAGCGAGAAGGGATATGAAAGCCTGGTCACACGCCGCGGCCAACGCTTCTTTATGTTGGTCACGCTGTCGCATGAGTTGGATGACTTCCGGCGTGTGAAACCTTGAAACTTTCTTGGTGCCGCTCACTTTCACCCACGATGCAGGGACACGTTTGATGGAAGCCGAGCTGTTCTCGACTTCAATCAAATAATCAATCCCCGCAACAGACTTGTATTCGACCGTCTTCTTCCCAAGCTTCTGGCCAGCAACAGAGCGATGCTCCTCTAGCTCGTGTTCCACACTTGCAATGCCGAGCTTTTGGTCGCTGATATCTTCTGTCTCCTCGGCTTCCCGGAAGAAGGCATATTTATCATCACTCTTCGCAGCATGCATATTTATCTTGTCCAGAAATGCTACAACATCTTCCAGGATCGTAGGGAGACAAGTGATCGCCTCATTGATGGCAGTAGATGCAAAACCGGTATCCGCAGGTGATTTCACGTCAGAAAACTCCTGCGCAATCATTTGCATCGTCTGCAAAACGGTGAGGAGTTCCGGTCGAGTACACTGGTTATCTTATTAGTCTTTACTCAAGTGGCACAGAATTATCGAGACGAAAAACCAACCTTGCCGTAATAGATCCGGATCAAGCTCTTTTCCAAGTCGCTCTTGACCTTTCCAAGCAGACCCTTGAGCCGCTCTACCATTACCGTCTTTTCTGAATTCTTCAGCTCTTCGACGGCGTTCACCCTCTCCTCCAGCCTCGACTTGTCTAGCAGAGGACGTCCGACCCATTTCCGGAGCATGCGCTGTCCGAACCGCGTTTGCGTCCGATCAAGCGTCCAGAAGAGACTGCCTTTAGTCGTATGGTCCGTTTGATTTTGGTAGATCTCAAGGCTCATGAGAGTGTTCCCATTCAGAAGCATGTGTGATCGGGAGGAAAAGTGTTGGAAGTATTTTGTCAACTCGAAAACATATTCCAAGCCGTACTCTTTCATGTGCTCGATCATGGACGAGAGGCAAATGGTCACTTGCTCTGGCAGATTGAGCACCTTCTGAAGTAGGCTACTCGCCTGCGCGTCATCTGCAGCACTGGCCGTCTTCATTTTTCCTGCATAAAAGCTGGAGACGTGGCTGTGTGACTCTGCGGCGGCAGTTTTCGACTTAAGTACTCTTTCCACGCGGGTCTTGTCCCCGAAGACGTTCAACTTGCTGCCAGAAAGATGCTGAACGAGCTTCTCCGTAGCCTTGGAAAGCTCGCCAACGATCAAAAGCTCACAGGGTGCAATATGCAGCAACCTCGTTTCGATCTCGCTTCTCATGAACCCATCTTCAAAATCGTCATAGACTATGTCTCCTGTAGCTGGCTGGACAGCAACAATTCCCACTTGAACCTTCTCGTCATTGCCCCAGCCCTTTGCATTTGTTTCAGTTATGCATAGCAAGTAGCCGGTTGCTGGTGAGGCGCCGCCAGATGCTGCAGGCATAGGCCCTCCTAAGCCCTCCGCATCGTCAATGTAGGTACCCTTGGTGTACAAATTGGTGAGTTTGCGCACGAAGGGCGCGTTACGGTTGTCGCCCGCTGCTTTCAAAGCAGCGGTCTCTATTTGTCTCACAACGCCGACCTTATGACCTGCAGCAACGAGGCGCTTTACATGTACATGTAATCTGTGGACTGGTATGCTAGCGGAGGCGAAACGATCGAGGTGTGCTTCAGAAGGATCTAGATTTGACAAGACCACGTTAGGCACGAACTGCTCAAGCAGGATGTGAGAAGGAGGCGACGGAACCATACTTACGTTCGTCAAATCTCAGTTTCCCTGGGATACAGACAATAGACAATTCCTTTGCGGCGACCCTCGCATCTTCACCAAAGAATCGGAACTTATAGCCAACTTCAACTACTAGGACTGTATCCATATGCTTGCGCTTTATGTCGATGACCTGCTTCTCCATTGGAGTGAGCTTGCTTCCGCCTTTCTTCGCAGCAGCTTTGCCCTTAGCAGGAGGGGGTGGTGCTGCTTCCTCCTCATCTTCAGGCTCAGCACCCTCTTCGGGCGTAGCTTCGCTAATGGCATTTCTACCAATGCCAATGAGGCAGTCCGCGCCACCCAACTTCCGAACGAACTTGTGGTGTAACTCTTCTCTCTCCTTCTGTCTTTGTCCAGCCTCGAGTTCAACTGCCGCCTGTGACCCTTCCACTCCAGTATTCACCGCTGGTGAGCTGCTGAACTTAAATCTTTCAGTTCTTTGGCTACTGGTCAGGGCCGGGGGTCGCTCTGTAGTTGATGTTGACTTCGGAATCTCTTCTCTGCTTGCGGGATAAAGGCCGTTCGTTCTAACTCTTTTAGGAGCCGGTGCGACTATGTCATCCTCCTCATCATCGGTCAGGGCTTTATCTTTCTTTGCCGCTCGTTCCTGATTGTCCGCTTTATCAAAAGTTGCAGCTGGGCTTTTCTCTTCAACGACATTGACTGAAGCTTGCTGGGCTGTTTGTGGTTTCTTCGTGAAGAAGCTCGCGAGCGTTGACTGTTTCCGCTTCACCCCCGGTGACGAAGAATTCTGTGATGAGGGAAGGGGCATTTTCTCCTTGTGGTCGAAACCACCGGCAATCGCCGAGGCAAAATATCCTAACACTATAAGGACACCGAGGGGAAAGGGTTCGCGGTAGCGGTAGCGCCTGCTGGTCGCAGCCTAGACGTCCAAAAACAACCTAGGATATCTGAATTCATATGTCATGCATCAAAGAATCGCATCAAACGGATTCCGGAGCCAAAGAATTGGCCTTAGCGTCAAATGCGTGTCCGCGGCTCGATGACCTCGACGCGTGGAGGAGCTCCGTCACGCCCGTCACGCGTAATGGCCTTAATTGAGGATGATATAAGCATTTATGCCTGAGGCATATGTATTTACCGAGTTACTTCGAGGCATCAAAGTATACACTTTGTCTATCCTTTTCTGTCTCCATTTTAAAGTAAGCATAACGTGTTTGGCGTTCTTATACATAATAGCATACTAGTATGCAGTGTCGAGGGGCGTCGTCTGACAGTCAATGTATAGCAGCTACCACCGAAGGTTGACCCCAATGCAGTGCTAACCACCCAAGTATCCATACCACATAACGGGATTGCTTGTATATAAGTCGAATGCAAGGCATGCTACAAAGCAATGTCACTTTAGGGTCTAAAGGCTATCAATATCGAGCAAGGGCCGTATAAAGAAATGGTTCGACCCGCAGGAACTGGACTCAAAGAACACCGGCAAAGACCAGAGCTTAGAACGAGCTCCCGTCCAGGTAAAGTCGGCCAAACTCGCTTTCATCAACGTCCGAAATTGTTGACTCGGGTGAGCCAAGCAGTGGTTCATACTGGTTGTTCGGTCTATGTTCTGGTTTTGGACTATACATTGGACCATCGTCAACGGGCAACCCGGGGAGTGAAACGGCCAAAGGGTTATATGAGTATCCAGTGGGGCTTTCCTGGTTATCGAATGATCTGAAGCCAACTGGTCGAGGATCTCTGAAAAAGTACTGTGGTGGGTAACAGATTTCGCCGGTTACATGCTCCGTGAGAGAAGGGGCATGCCAGTCCATCAAAGGATCAATGCGGCCACGAATATCCAGGAGTGGTTCAATGTTCTCCTTGTCCATGGTCAGACCATGCGCCCGTCCAGCCACTGCAGAAGATTGGTCACCAGGTGATAGTGGATAAGCATCATGATGAAGTGTGAAATCTTTCAGGAGGTATAGAGGATGAGAGGAAGCCGACGCCACAGAATAAGTTCCATCGCCACAGTGAGAATCCGTAGAACCGGCAATGTACTGATTTGGTCCATCGTGAAAGATTGTAAATCCGGTACGAGGTTTGAGCTTAGTCCCTTTGAAAGACAATTCAAATTCGTCCATATCATCCTCGCGACTGCCATAGCGAAGCAGCCGCTGGGGCCCTAGGGATGCCTTCGGGAACTCTATATCTCTTCCTCTTGTATCTCTATCCACCAAGTTTCCATTGCGCTTGGTGGTCCTTCTAGTTCGCTTCCTACTTTGTCCACGTTGGATGTTAGGGTCAACTTGAGAGAGGACCCTTTTGGGACGGTTTACTCGACGTTTGGGAATGGGCGTCTCCCCTTTGAGGGGGCTGCTGTCCTCAACATTACCTGAGATCACACGCTGCTTCCGTAAAATTCCGGTAGGGGAAAAGACGAGCTCTGTGGGCTCCACGCAAAGGGACGTCTTCTCCATGAGCTTCAAGATACTTTCATCCTTCTTCTGATTGCGTCTGCGTCTCATCTGTTCGGTAGCCGAGTCAAAGATATCCATTCCAGGCCACAGCACACCCTTGAGTCTGGCTATTTCATCTACTCTTTCCTTCTCCATCTCATTTGTGGCGGGAAAATAAATACTGTCATTCTCGTTGTCGTCGATAAATGGATCACAGCCGTATTGGCCGGATGGCTGGGGGGCCACGTCTGCTTCGTTGTCCGGTGCCTTTGCCCAGTAAAATGCAGTTTGCACCGGAATGTCCTCGTCTTCCGCCCTTTGCATTTGTTCTTGCTTCCAGAGGTTGCATGAATTCTGTGCTGTCTTTGTCGGAGAGGCTACTGAGGCCAACGAGTGGTCTTCTAATCCAGGGTAAGTATGCATGAGATTATAAGACGGGTCACTAGGAGCGGCATTGGCTGAAGAGTATGGCGTGTTTGTGTCCTCAGCCTCGTCTTCAATGACATATGAGCGAGAGAGACGTGGGTCCAGATAATCAGGGAGTGGGTTCTGGGATGAAGGACTTGCAGTGGATACTGGCACTGTAGCATTATCAGTCTCGCTCTCCGTATATGATTTTTCTTGTATTTTTTTCTTGCGGGCTTCTTTCGAGGACATCCGATCCGAAAGCAACTTTGCTAAGTTGTTTCTCTTATACCATCTGTCATATTCACGTAGCAAGGCCACTGCATGCTGCTCTTGATGACTGCGTACTTGAAGTTTGAAATAGTGGGACAAGTGTGCCTTTGACGAGATATGGGTAAGCAAGTGCGATGCATCGCTGAATGTGGGCCGCTTGGGACAGATATTGCACAAAAGTGCAGCTGCATCCATTTTGGAAAGGGGTGTAAGAGGGTCCAGCGCCGAATCTTGGAAGAGATATCGAAGGAAACAACAAGGAGGAGATTCTCTCAACAACAGATGTGGTATTCCGGCCTTGGAAGGAAAGGATGAGAATCTTTAGAAGATAAGGCGTTACAAGATGGGGGACCTGCCCGGCTGACTCTCCTTCGCTGTCAATTCACAACTAGAGAAAGAGCTACCAAGGCCAGCTTTCTCCAGGCAGGCAAGTATTAATACGGGCAGGGGAGCAGATACTACTAGTAGACCACGCGATCGATCATAGTAGTTGACCCTCATATCATTTGCACATTTTCTACTATTGGGGACTCGTTAAGCGACGCCACTACATAATAGATATAAAAGTAGACCTTGGTTAGTAAGTAGTAGTTACCAGTTTCATTTATGTGGGTGGGTGGGAAGCAATACTTCAGTATAAACACGGAAAACGTATTCATGTATGATACACTGTTCTAGTATGGATGATACAATTCATGGCTCCGTTGCAAACAGAGTGAGAAGCCTAATTGTAAGCCAGTTTAGCATCCTATATGTGTCCTATAACCTAGTACGTCCTAGTACTAGAATACTAGAAGCCAACTACTCAGCAGACCAAGTAGTACCACTTATTCAACTATAACCCACGACCACTACTGACTATATATATCTCTCGGCCGTTTTCGGAGCTCGGGCTTCAATACTAGTAGTACTATTCATTATATTCACCGGTATCTGTTGAAGAAGGCTGTTTGCTTTTATATGAATAATCGAGTAGCAGTAACTAAGGAAAGGAGCACGAATCGACCAATGCCACCTTAGTAGAGATAGACGTTTGCTAGTACATGACTAGTAAATGTTATGATGGCCATGGCCTTTTTCTGTTTGCAGACAAATTGGACGGGATGCATTTAGCATCTGGCATCCTAGAAGAGCGTTGGATGTAAGTCAAGGCTACTAGTACATAAATACTAGTAATTTCTTCCACACCTTTATCAGTCAACTCCAAGGATGATACATATTTCATACTCTTCCGTGTTGATCAACTAGCTACTGTATATCTTGACTATGATTACGATTCATGTACCACTGTGTCTTAACAGCCTTTCCATAAGGCTATTGTGAGGGGGTATGAAGCGGAAATAAGTCACAGTGCCAATCACTCTTCTCCTGCCTTGTATCCCATAATCCATGGAGATAAAGAAAAACGGGTTATTAGATTGCAGGAGGTAAGGCCTACGTCAAAAAACAGTACTCAAAGGGTGATGTCATCATACAGCCAAAGATTACCGTTGAAGATATTTCTGTGTAATTGCCTTCGGCATACAACTAAACAAGAAAGTTAGCTATCCGCACCACTGCGTTGCGCAGGTTTGCATAACTCACTAAACCGGATCTACTTCTTGGATGCCACTGAACTTCAACAGGCTCAAACCGGCAATGGCAAAATGGGTATGAAACACATCAACCATGCTGCCTGGCCTGTCTCCGATACCCCCAGCCTCCGAATCCTTGATTGCGTCAGTGCCATGCATGCAAGGCCATGGCGAAGGGATAACATACCTGACAGCGCAAGATGAAAGCAGAAAGCTTGCCACTATCAATCCAGTGGAGTTTGTCGATCATAGCCAAGCTAGCACCAACCCACCAGCTATAGCATGCATCAGGCAGTTTCTCGGGCCTTCCATTCAGACCACCATTTTCGACCTGTCTTTCGCTGAGCCAACCTCCAAGACGGTCCTTGTTTACCAAGTCCAGTCGTCCGGCGATTGCCAGAGCTCCTACGCATGTGAAGATTTGACCAGCATGTGACTCAGCTCCAGGCTGGATGCCATAGCCGCCGTCCAAGTTCTCACACTGTTGGACATAGGAAATGGCTTTGGGCACATCGACTGTATGAAGAAGCCCAAGAAGGGAGAGTGCATTAAACGCGCCATACAGAAAGCGTGTATCTCTCTCACCCCATTCATCGCCCATGAAAGCGCCAGTGTCTTTGTCCTGTAGCCCTGCGATGAAAGAGCCAACCTTCTCTTTTCCTCCTAGACCGCGCTTCTCCAGCTCATCCACCGCGTCCAGGGTTACGAGAATTTGCACTGCCGATACTGTGTACAGCATGTGTGCATCATGGCCCGGAGCTGCCCCGAAGCCGCCATTCTCCCGTTGACACGAGAGAACAAAATCGATGGTATCTTCACGAGGAAGGACATCGGGACGGCCAAGGAGATGTAGAGCTGTCAAGCCCCAATACACCCCATTCAGGCGAAGGTGTTCTGTAAGCCAATATTCTAGCTCATCCCTCCTCTAGCATCACCTGTCAACCATCTTCCCCATCATCAAGAGAAGAACCATGGTTATAGTAAGAATTGACGCACGCTGTCCAAGTTCTTGATGTAATCCACATGTCTTTCGACACTAAGATTCAAGCTGGATTCGATCCCAGCAGCCCTACCAGGACCCGAAACTAAGGACATTTCTGTAACCGGATCGCTGAAAGCAGTGTAATTAGTGGTTGAGCTTTGACTAGTCAGGAGCTTCTTGCCGGCGCTAGAGCGGCAGCCTTAAGTGTTGTCCTGACCAAGGCCACGAAGCTTGTGCCTGCTAACACAAGGGCGATCAAGGCGGAGAAGCAGGTTTAAAGCTTTGGGGGTGGCAAACACAGGGTCGTCAAGGGAGGCAACCGCTGCACGTGTTCCCCCTCACTGCAGGTGAGGTTAGTATGAGGTGTCTTTGGAGGTTAGTCGTGGACGACTCGGGAAGCTGGGAGGGTAAAAAAAAAGCAAGCTTCGGGAAAAGGTGTGTGTGTGTGTGGTGGTCGGCGGTTGGCGACGAGAGGGGAGGGCTGACCATCACGTGATTAAACGCCACCGGGTAAGCTGCTGGGCCAAAAAGCGGGGCCCATTGTTTCAGCCTGGCGTTTAGGGCAGGATCGCCGTCTCCCACGGACAGCGGTGTGAAACCCCTGAGCGCCAAAGACTGCTTGCCCCTGGGTCCCTGCTCTCTCAGAAATGTTCGGTGGCTGGCCCTTGTGCCCATGCCATGGAGGCCGGGCTCCCGCGTCCCACTCTGGCACAAGTACAAAGTAAGTTGGTGGCAATGTCTATCAAATTTGTCAAATGCACGTAAGTCCAAGGTAGGCAGGTAGTATCGAAGTTTCTACCTAGCGCAGAGTGATCCTTGTGATGATGATGGGCACTAAGGTGCAGAACTGCAGGTATGGATGGGGAATGTGGGTTCTGTCTCTTCTACTCCGATAGTATTAGCTAGGCACAATTACGTAGTGCCGGGCTATTGACTCGGTATGGCGTAGGCGTAGTAGTAGTAGTCATATGAGTCTTCCACTGTCCCACGTGTAACAATGCCGTTGACTAGTCTAGATACTACTATATGTATCTATCTAAATATTTTCTAATCTAGTACCCTCTAGGCTCCAGGCAGAAATCGCTAAACGGGTAACGCTCATAACGCTTCCGCATAAGTGCCATGAGGTGCATGACCCTCAGGAGTCCACATTAATGATGAGTCCCATTTATGTCAAAAGCAGCAGATTGTCCTGGAGTACTAAAGCCGTAGGGGGAGCACGCTACCTTTGCTAACCGGAAGGGTTGAGTTGACTTCTCCACCACTGTAACGAAGCGCTAGACCACCAGAGGTGGGAAGCCGCGTGCTCCCTGTGGCAGCGTATAATGCCCCGTGGAACTACCGGAATATACTTCACACATGGAAGCGCCAAAGTATGTTTTGTTTTCAGTCCAGCATTGCTTACAGAAGCAGCGCAATTTCCAAATGACAGTTCCAGGGTTGTAAACCTGCCCCAGTGCTCTCTGGCTTTCTTTTTCCTTCCCCTTGTCTATATTTAGCCATCCGGAATGTACCGTACTACAAGAGAGGCACAACCAGAAAGTGTAGACATTCGGTGCTATAAATGTCATTGGTAAAGCGGGGCAATAAGACAATGATAACCATTATTTATTCGTTCAACGGTGCCTAGGAAGTCAGTAGTACCTAGGTACGGGGTACACTATCCAGGCACCGAGTACGCATTATTTCCTCTTTTCCCTATCATCCCCACTGACTGTATCAAATTTGTCTTGACTGAACCATGGTTGACTACCCCATACAGCTTCAAGAATCAGACCACTTGCTGGAAGGTTCAATATTCAGACGTTAATACTCATTTTATACAGTCAAACAAATTGTGAACAAAGACACCAAAAAGTTTTTTCTCACCATGAAGACTTCGGGAATAACCTACTCAAGAATGGGGGCCGTCTGCGGAGCCGACACAATACTTTTAGTGCCATAAGACTCTTAGACTACTGCATACTAAGCAGCCAGATAAGGTGCCACTCAAATGCTGTGATGGGCCTCCGCGTCAGGTACTCATGTGTCCCGGGTGCTTCTGATTTGGCCCTGCGACTGAAGCCCCGTCCAAATGTCCTTGGTTGGCCAATCCACGGTCGCAATGGCTGTCTCTTAGACCGGGCATGCATCATCCCGCCCAAGGCACCAACTGCCAGACCCGATCTTTTCTGGCCAGTCATTGTCACCGCTGCGAGTGTTTGGATGGGTCCTCCCGATCTTTCGGTGTATATCCCAATGGCCTGTACTCCGTCCACGCAGGAGGTGGCCATTGCAGCCCGGGGTGGCCATCATCACAAGGGTTATTGCGCAGTAGCGTGTTCAGGGGCAACCCGACAGGCACGAAAGATAACTAACTACACTTTGTATATTCTACCTACACAACAAAATTACTGAATCTTCCAAAACCTTTTTTTTCTGTCTTCTTCTCTTGCCTCTTGTCTTGCTTCTCGATAGTACTGAAATAGCTGTGAATAATGTAGCAACATACTTTGTAGTCATGAGTTAGTTTCTAATGTGGATTTGACTTTCCTTTCGGACAGCCTCTCGATTTTCTCACCATGGGAAGTTTAACCTTTCCATTTTGCCCCCCCTCTCTCCCCCAGCTGTAAGGTACTTGGGTATTTCGGTGACTATTGCAGATGTTAACCCATCAATACGTGGGTTGGATCAACGTCATCCTCCTGGTACCAGCCACGAGTTCCTTTCCCTTTTTAACCTCTATCCCTCAAATTTGGTTTAGGGTGCTTCATCAATCCTTCATTGATATTTTTCTTAAATTTCAATTTTATTTTGGATTTTTATCTATTGCCTGCCAATATCTGGCTGTTACTTGGATTTTGAAAGTACTATCTATCAGTAAGAGAACCTCTTCAGCATTCATTCTTCAGGAAGGGAGTGCCATGCTAAGCTGTCCTTACCTGTTTCAATTACAGACGTTATCCACTATCCTTTTTTTTTTTCCCATTATTATTTTTATTCCCTTCCCAGAATCCAAGGGCATCCATCCATCTGCTATCTGGTTGTCTGTGCACTAAAAAGATAGGCTTTTCATAATCCCATAACCACTCTGAAGCCACCCAGTAACTATTCCGGAGCCTTGCAACGCTATCTCCACTACCGACCCCCCCCTTAAAAAAACGGAGGCTTCTTAGCCTGACACACAGCCGCGCTTGCATAACACCGTCCAGGAATGTGTCGTCGCTGCGACATTCAAGTCTGAACACCTCCAACACCGTGTGGACTCGCGCTCTCGTGTTTCTTTGATCGCTATTACCACTTCTTCGGGAAACCCGTCAAGCGGACGGAAATTCTTTGTTCTTCTCTTTCCCTGTTCCTGTTCCTTTATTTTTATCATTTTTAGCATCTTCATTATCGCTTTAGGATTAGCTAGCAAATTCGCCGACACCTACTCGTCCCCTTGGTACGCCGACCGCCCTCTTCAACACCGCTCAGACACACAAATCGAGATTCTTAGGCGAGCGTCTATTTACTAAACCTCTGTCACCGCATTAAGTCACCAGAAGCAACAGTTCGCATCGCTGTTCGGTCAAAATTGTTGTGGAGGGGATAAGTAACAACCGGAGGGGGAGTCTCCATCTAACATGAGGGGCGGCGCAATCTGGTATGTGTGTGGTGACTTATTTTTCTTTTCTTATTTGAGTCGAATCCTCAAACGACTGTCCACTATCTCCTCCCCTCAAGACAGCTCATTTGCCCTGAGACTGCTGGCTGTTCCTGGAGCAATGGTGTTTCAATGGTCTTGGGGTGTACTATCTCTATCCAACTGATCCCTACCCACGATCCTGTATCAGTGCACTGTCTCCCCTGTCGTGGTCCTCTCAAGAACGCGTCTTAATCTTTCATCTTGCTGACCACTATGCGACTCTACATTAGAACTATCGCCCCGACATATCCTTGCAGAAAAGCAACAACCCCCTTCTTCAACTGTGCTCCGCGAGTCCACCATATCCGGAAATATTGGCCAAGGCTGGTCCGGTTCCAATCATTTCCTTATCAGAATTCATACACCTACTCAAATATCGGGTATTCGCATTTCTTTTGCCAAGGGAGCGCTAGGATATTTATGCTCCCCGAGACCAATTCTGCGTGGCTCTCTATTTGAAAAGGAGTAAGTTCTAGAATCAGGAGCTTTGCCGGGAGCCGAATCATATCCAAATTTAGCACAATTCATGAAACCTTATGGATGCTAACCTGTTTTCGCCGCTAGGCCCTTTTTCATCGTCCACTTGGTGTCGCAGCCGATCCTTGACGTACTATCATTTTTCCTCAGCCCAGACCGTGTTCCCGGTTCAGCTATTCAGGGTCACCTGCTGACCCGCGATTGACACTTACGATGCCATCGAGACAGTCCACTGTTCCGAATTTAGATCTAAGCACTTCCACTCTGCAGGCGGATGCGAAGATCTCGTCTCCACTGACGCCCGGTGCCCAAAGCTCCGAGGGGCCAAGTCCCCTGACACCCCGTTCCCCCAAGTCATCATCGAGCTCGCCCTTTTTCAAAGGGGCCACTATCAGACCCGTCACACAAGATTCGAACAGCAAGTCGAGCAGCCCTACATTCCCAGCGGCCTCTCCGGGTATTGCTCCTGCGGAACCAGCTACTCCGGGTATCACGGCTATACCCCAGTATCCTCCTTCCCCGAAAGACACCCCTAAGCACACGCGTGATCAGTCACGCTCTTTCTTTGCGAACCTCAAAGCACCAAAGTCATCACATAGGGCCCAACGGTCGGATAGCTCAGGGAATTCGGGCGAAAAGCCCAAGAGCCGCGGCAGTTCCAGGGACCGCAAAACCCAGATCTCAACGAAATTTTACGAATCGACTCCTGATCTGCCAGGTGCTATTGAGCGAGCAACTCAAGAAGAGAGTCGTAAGTGAATCCGACCAGCCATAGGTCTGTTTCAGGCATTGACAAGCCCATTCAATAGGTGGTGACCGCGCTGAGGAGAAGTGTCCCCAACCAACAGAGGTGAAGAAAGTGGGCACGGAATCGGAGGCCTTCAACCTAGCCAAGAAGAATAAGCCGCGCTTCGCAAATCTCCTCTCTCGCTCCCGCTCGATTAGGCTGGACGACTCCTCTATGAACAGGATAGCGAATCGGCGCCCATCTACCAGCCTGATGAGGCTCGAAGAAAACACCCGCAGGGAGGTGCAAGAGCCCCCGAAGTCTGCCTCACGTCATGAGCGCGGAATCAAAACAGCGGGGAATCCTACGGCTCGCAGTTATACCGCCGACCGTCCCACGGAATATCACAACGGTCACATGCGTAAAGATAAATACTATGCGGGATCGATGGTTCCCTCCGCCTCACTAAGTCAGGTGTCAGGCGCATCTGCTGCGCTATTCAATAACCTCAAACAATCATCAAGTGGTGCCGCTGATCGTATCGGCAAGGCTGGGAAGGGTTTTTTCGGCAAGATTACCAGAAGCGGGAGCACGAATGAGCGGGAGCTCGTGAATGACGACAATTATGTTTGCTCAGTCATCAATCTGCCACTGATACAGCAGGCAAGACGGACTCGTATCGCAAAGCGACTTGAAGATTGTCGAGACAAAACCGAGTTCTGGATGCCTGCTCTACCTTACCGCTGCGTCGAGTAAGACAAATCACGAACCTGTATGTCTGAAATAGATGTGCTAACGACGTGCTAGCTACCTCAATTTCAAGGGGTGTGAGGAAGAGGGACTCTACCGAGTCCCGGGAAGTGGGAAAGAGGTGAAGCATTGGCAAAGACGTTTCGATACAGGTACCTTTCTTTTGCAAACCCTGGTTCTCTCACATCGAGTCTGACGTTTCCATACAGAACTTGACATCAACCTTTTCGATGTGCCAGACCTTTACGATATCAACACTATTGGCTCGATGTTCAAGGCTTGGCTTCGTGAATTGCCAGATGAGCTCTTCCCCAAGGAGACACAAGCCTTAATTGCTGAGAAATGCGAGGGTGCGACGACTGCGCCACAAATGCTGAAAGATGAACTTTCCAAATTGCCGCCTTATAACTATTACCTTCTTTTTGCCATCACTTGCCACCTCAACCTCCTGCACTCCTATGTCGACCAGAACAAAATGGACTACCGCAACCTTTGCATTTGCTTCCAGCCTTGCATGAAAATTGATGCATTCTGCTTCCACTTCCTGGTCTGCGACTGGAAGAACTGCTGGCAAGGCTGCTGGACAGAGAAAGAATACCTTCAGATTGAGAAGGAATTGGATGAAAAGGAAAAGGCGGCCCAGGAGAAGGATGAGGCAGTCCACGATTGTCAGCAAGTTCAACAACCTCAACAAAGCCAGCAAAGCCAGCAACCCCAGCATCCTTATCAAGCTCCACAGAGCGACGAAAGAGCTGTTTCTTCCGGTAGTAGCCAACTAGGACAGGAAGAAGAGCCACCGCGTCCCGAAGTACCGAAGAACCGCAAACAAAAACCAAAGAACATTGAGACCTCACATACGAGAAGCATATCACAGCTTCCCGAACTCGGCCCCCCACTGTCCCCGATACAGATCTAAACAACATCCTCTATAGAGTTTTCACCAGCGATATTCCATTACGCTGGTATCCACCAACATCCCATTTCCTTGCCCGACTAGGCTGGCCTACATGCTCGAAATCCTACTTCACCATGCGTAAGGCCTGGGACTGGATCCGCAGGTTGTGCATGATGACGAATTATATCTTTCGATTGTGACCCGGCTCATACACCATTTCCCCATATCTTGCTCTAGACGTTGGCGCATACATGAATCTTCAGCTTTCCATCTTTATGCCTTAACCAATTTGGTTTCGCGACGATTTTCCAGCTATATCGGGCCACCATCAGACTGCATGCCTGGCGCCTTGGAGTCGGTTCAGTTCAGGCCTACATGATGCTTTGACTTTTTGTTGTACAAATCTTTCTCTTCGTCTTCTCTTTCTGTCTTTGCTCAATCCCATTTTCACTTCATGGCACCGTTGGCGACATAATTCCTTTCTAGCCTTTTCTTGTTCTTTTTTTCTTGGAATCATCAAACGCATGTATTTCCTTATCTCCATTTTTACCGGCTTATTCATCTATTGATTCCCCACTTGAGCTGTGTTACGGTGCGTTTCCCTCGAATTTGGCGACTCATGACACATTTTTGGTCCTTGCTTTGTACTATTTCTCAATTCTTCGGCGTATATTGGTACATAGCTGTAAGATAGACCAATAACAGGCGATGCATCAATAAAGAAACAAACTTGGAATTGGAAGGCTGGATGGTCTATTTGTATTTGAGTATAGAGGCGTATCTACAAGTGAACAAGTAGTACATGTGAAGTCGAGCATTAGCCCCAGTTATGGTGCGGACCCCATAGAAGATCAAGAAACAAGACAAATACTTAAAGGGGTAGTAAAATGTGATATTGCTTTTAGAGCCCGGCGAGACGAACAAGTCCCAAACCAAAGGCAACATTGACAGACATCCAAGCCCAGCGACTCCAAACCGAACGCCTTAACATTTGAGCCCCAGTGAAAGAACGAAAAATTAAAACCAAGGCAAGATCCGCAGAAACTTGTTATACGGCCTCGACTCTTGACAAAAATCGTTATCAGACACAACAACAACACACACAGCACATAATACACATCATCAGTATATTTTAACCACCACCCGACTTCCTGTTCTTGCGCTCATTCGCTCTCATTTTCCTCTCGTTGCGGCGTATCCTGTCTTTGCGTTCGGCGCGAGATAGTCCACGGATCGAGCTTCCCTTAGCGGCCGCCTCTTCTTCCTTCTTCCAATCCTTCTCGTTCACCTCAACAAGCCATTCATCATCGGACTTGTTCTTGCCCTTGTAACCCCAGCGAGGAACCCACTCGCCCTTCTCTTCATCGTACACCAACTTCTTGCGACGCTCCTTATCGGCCAATGCTGCGCCAGGCCTGCTGCTGTATTTGCCAATACCCTTCTTGCGGGCGAACAGCTCCCACTTGGTCGGGGGCTTGGGGGTGGGAAGAGGCTTGAAGCGCGGGAGGACAGTGGAGGGAGACGGGAGAGTCAGGAGAACACCCTGTTGGGAGGAGGTGATGGGGCAGGTGGTCAGGAGCTGGTTGAGAAGAGACTGGGTGCCATCCCGGGCTGTGGCCTTGAGACTGACGTCCAAGGGCTCGGAGCGGGAGATCTCGAGAGGGTTGGGATCGTTCGCAAGCAGATGACCGAGGTCGAATGTGTATGGGGTAGGCTTAGAGACTGTCACGGGCCTAATAGTATCATCATTGAGGAATCAGTATGTGTGTTTGTTCAGGTTTAACGGAGTTTGTATAGATAGATGATAATCTTTCCCCACGCAAATGGGGGGTGGATTCGACTTACAGTCTCTCCGGCTTGGGCTTGGAGTCGGTAGACGCCATTTTGAACTTTTGATCGCGCAACTGGCGAACAAGATACTCTGGGGGTTGAGGTTGAGAGTATCACACAGGGACTCCAAAAAAGACTGGAGAACTGGGCGCAAAGGAAACAAGTGATTTGACCGATCGGGTAAAGAGGAAAAAAAAAGTTCGGGAGATGAAATCGCCATGCTGCTTTTAGCCATATCACACCGCCTTCATTTCCAGCGGCACTGGAACTAGTCCAAAAGAGGCAAGGGAGGAGGAATCTGAGTCGAGGCTCCAAAATGTGCTCCGAATTTCAATCCATTCCATGTCTTTGGGCGACTCCTCCGCGCAAACCTCCGCTCCCACCCCCCATCCCCGCCGCAATTAATCCCAATTGACCGATTAGAACGCTGGCCACAGCGCCAGTGTGTCCCGCAGCGCGATGGTTTCCTCCTTCTGCTGGAGCTGCCTTACGCGGCTTCCTACCGCACCCCGAGCTATCCTCCCGCCGACATTAACAGCACAGCGAGTAGCAGCATTCCACTCGTCAACGCCGCTCCTTGCGGGAGCTAAGAAGAAGGGCGATTTACCGGTTGCCAAGTACCGTCAAGCCAAATCCGCCAAAATGAAGAAGAAGAAGCCTGTTGAGAAGACGCGTCCTCCGGCTGTCGGAGAACGCAGAGCGCTCCGCAAACGCATCGTCCTCAGCAACCCTAACGCTCTTGAAATCGAAGGCATGCAGGACCTCTCTGCAGAAAACATGGTGGATGCGCGCCTTCGTGGCTCCATTCTGGGTCTTCCTGTGCCCATGCTCGATCAATTGAGGGCTGTTCAGGCCTTCAAGCCCAAGCAGGGCTGGTCCATATTCCGTCGGCCGGGAACGGTGGTGAGGCGCGAGACGCTCGAGCTGGGAAGGCTCATCGACGGTATCTCCGCTGAGGAGGGTGAGAACAAGGGAAAGGTCGTCAGGAAGATCCTTACCGGTGTGAAGGGCTCCGGAAAGTCGGTCCACATGCTGCAGGCCATGTCTATGGCTTTCACCAAGGAATGGGTTGTTATCACGGTTCCTGAAGGTGAGATCCGTCACGAGTGCTGCATCTACGCAAAGGATATTAACAACCTCCTTAGCCCAGGACCTCGTCATTGCCAACACCGCCTACGCACCCCTCTCCGATGAGAACCCGAACGTCTATGTCCAGAACGATGCCACCGCCGCTCTCCTGTCTCGCACGGTCACCGCAAACCAGAAGGTTCTGTCCAAGTTGACCGTCTCCCAGCCCCATCCCACCCTGAAGACGGCCGTCAAGCCCGGCATGACCCTCGAGGCTCTCGCCAAGCCCGGTATCCAGGACCCCGCTGTGGCATGGAACGTCTTCCAGGCCCTTTGGACCGAACTCACCGCTACCGCCCCGGCCGCCGGCTTCGAGAAGGGCTTCAAGCCCCGTCCTCCCATGCTCGTGACCCTGGACAACCTGGCCCACTGGATGAAGGAGACCAAGTACAACAGCATTGACTGCAAGCCCATCCACGCCCACGACCTCGTCTTCGTCCAGCACTTCCTCTCCCTCCTGAAGCCCAGCACCGAGGCAGCAAAGCCCTCCCTCCCTAACGGCGGTGTCATCCTCTACGCCACCTCCGGCTCCAACAGCCCCACCATCTACGGCTTCGAAATCGCCCTCCAGCAGCTCGCTGCCCGCCAGGCCGGCGTCAAGCCCTCCTCTCCGGAATTCCCTCAACCCGACCCCTACCTCAACGCTGACAAGCGCGTCCTCGCCGTCTTCAACGACTCCGCTTCTTCCAAGTCCCCCGCCCCCAAGGACGGCTCTCTCGAGCTTCAGACCATCGGCGGTCTCACTAGGGACGAAGCTCAGGGCTTCATGGAATACTTCGCTCGCAGCGGTCTCCTCCGTGAGAACATCACCGACGCCTGGGTTGGCGAGAAGTGGAGTCTGGCTGGTGGTGGCGTTATCGGTGAGCTCGAGAAGCTCGGTAGACGGCTAAGAGTCATTGCTTAAATGAGCCTGCTTACACCCCCCCATGGCGTGCTTTAGAACTCTGTATGTGTATGTAAAGATTATACTGGCTTGCCATGTTGCTTTTTCATTTGGTTGTCTTCTATCTCCCCATTTCTACTTCCGTCCTGCTGTGCCATTGGATGGATTCGAGACATCTCTGTATTGTATTTTATCCTACTATGTTCATTTTGGGCTTCTTGCGCGTTGTCTTCGTATCTCTGTTCTGTTCTGTCTGTATGCATATAATGAAATCTCGAAAATATGTGCTACTCTTTTCCCCCGGGGTCTCTTGGCTGTCCAAGTGTTTTACCCGTCCCAGGTTGTTCTGTTTTCTTTCTCGGCTCTTCTTTCTCCTTTCTCAATTTATAGTAAGGCCTTTCACGAAAGCGTGCATAGCATGTGCGTATAACATTCTAACAAGAGGTGGGAAGACAATTGATAGTAATGAAATTGAAATGCCACTGCCCAATGCGGAGACAACAATCAAAACATAACAGACCAAATACCAGGTAAACGGACCAATTCGAAGAGTAGCGGAATGGCCAACAGGCCAAACATCAGCTGTGACATAGCCTGTATACATTGATGATTAAATAGAAACAAAACAGATTGTATCATCAAGCTCCTATTCGCATTCTTTGTCATGATCGTTTCCCTTTCTTTCCTATTGCTTGCTTGTTTTTTGCTGGTGCTGGTGGAGGCACATATTCTGCATCAAGATGAGGTCCGCCACAGTTGCAAGGTCTTCCGAGAGCACGCTCCAAAATGCTAGTGGAGACGCCCGTATCGAGAGGGTAAAAATACGGGATGCGAATCTCATCACCTTTCTTGATGTCTTTGAATGACCACAGAATCATCAGATTAGGGTTCTCGTCACCGTAGGGGGCCCAGCTGGCGTTGAAATTGGTACGACACGCATGATTGAAAAGACTGTGCCCAGGATATAAATATAGCTTGGGGAAAGAGGGATCAAAGTACGGTAAATCCTCGATCTTCAGCTCGTCTTCCCATTTTGGAAAGGTTTTATGCTTGATTATCGTCGTGTGTTTGAAACGGTCACTCCTACAGGGAATGGCGTTGACGGTGAGCTTCCTCAGAACCAGTTGAATAACCCAAGTGTCGAAGCTGAGGTCGCGGAAGATGTCGACGCCGAGTTGTAAGAGGATATTGAAGGGAATATGGACATTGGCAGTCAAGCTAAAGGGAAAACTTCGATTGGTCCAATTTCGGGGGCCTTCAAGAGCAACAAGTTCGTCGATTTCGTGTGCCATGAGGTTGGGATCGTGGGTTTCTCTTCGGTGAAGGGTGATGTCAAATATTTCACGCAGGAGGAGACTCAGTAAAGTTGACTGTGTTTCACACGAGTACTTGTAACAAGGACGTTCTTCGGAGTCCAGAACCTTTATGGGCCGCATGGCGTCGTGTAGCCATGCCCAGTCTTCACCACAGACTTGAAAGTGATACCGTGCTTGAGCATTCTCGGCGCAAGTTGGATCACTATCATTTGGCGCAGGGCAGAATAGAATGGGGACTGGCTGTGTGATACATTTGCATGCTTCGCGGGAATTCCCTTGTTCAAATTCACGAGCGTGCTTTTCGAACTGCCCGCCGGGCAGGCCTCTTTGGCAGTTGTCACATCTTAATTCTAACCCTCTGATTGGCAGCTTTGGCAGCTCGAGGTGACCTCTGATGGGGGGATTTTCGACAAAAATGATCTCGTTCTTCGTAATATCTTCTGTTGCAATCACTTTCAGTTGCGTGTTGCTTGGATCGTCGCTGACGGCAATCTTGCATTTCTTCCAAGGGATGCTTTCATTCTGGGTGATAAAGATATCTGTCGCCTTATCCGTAAAGGCGACTGCAGCACGATCGATGTCGTCTGCGTCATGGGGATATATCCGGTCTCCTGGGGCGTTCCCAGCTCGTGATTCATGGTAATAGTAATCAGTGTTTTCCTTGGTCGTCTTGGCTTTGGCAGCAACGCCTTCCATGACCCTTCTGCGCTCTTGGAATGGCATCAAGTCCCGGTCCACATTTATCATCCTTGCTCTAAGAAGACGTTCCTTTGTTTTATAGTCGTCCCAACACTGGAGCGCCATGAGACTAAGAGCGAGAACGTGCTGGGTGGCCTTCCGAATAGTGGGTGTGAAAAAATTAACCCCATTGAACCTGCGAAGTAATGTAGCTTCCGCGGATAGGTTACCCGTGATAGAATCTCGGGGTTGAACCATGATATGCTGCTCCAGAGCGTGGCATATCCGCGTATAGAGTCCATGTTGAAGACTCCGCCGGTGTGTATCATAAAGCACGTCACAGAGATATTCCGCTCGATAAGCATCCCCGATAGCAAGGTCAAAAAACGCCTGTTGGTAATGGCAGTAAGCCCGGCTCAGCCAATAAGCTGGGTTATATGGGCTGGCAAGAATAGCACAAGTGTACATATCCAGTGCTCCTATGCCATCATCGTCGGTAATCTCGATAGCGTACTTCCGCGCGTTATCTCTTTGGATACCCCAATGTGACAGATCACTTCGAGGCAAGGCGCGGTATTGATGATACACTTGGCGTTTATAGTCCTGAAGTCGCCGGCGTAATACGGGAACCGTGCCTTCGGTTGAGAGGCTCCGGCTCTCAAGGGCGGCTCTTAGCTGGAGGGCCTTCATATCCCTGATAAGCTGCCCATCCACCTCGTTAAGACCTTCCGTGGTATCCCCAAGATCGAGACCCTGCCCTTCGAAGATGTCGTTGAATGACCAGACCCTGTTATTCAGCCCGGCATTGGTCCATTCCCTTTGCCAATTTGTGGGGTTGACTGGCATTAGGAATCTTTCGTTGTGCATCAAGTGGTCATAGACATTTCTTGCGAGTGCATGTGCTGCAGGATTATCATCCGCGCCCCTGGGCCGGGTATAACGGGGCTGCTCTCCCAGGCTGTCACCAAGTACAGTATCCGGAAGTGACCAGAAACGATGCGCGATCCTTGCATCTTCTATGCTCACATGCGGTGCCCATTTTGTTTGATCAAAGAGATCAGGTTTGGGGGGAAAGGCAAATGGGTCATCGCCATCGTCATCGTCATCGTCATCGTATGGACGTTTGGACATGATTCTGACAGCCGAAACACCTAACCAAGTTTTCGAGAAGTGGTTCGCAGTAGATTGGATAAGTGTCCAGGCGAGTCTCTTCAATATTGTACTAATACAAGTACTGCTGAGTAACCAAGGATATCGCTCCTAGTGTGTGCTGCTTTCAGTTGTCTTGCAAGGGAGGGAGAACGCAGAAAGCTGGGAAATGAAGGGATACTCGGGGCAAATAATGCAAAGGAAGAAGAAGTCGGGCTTTATAACGCGAGCTTGTTTGACCGAATCTCTTTAAACACCTTCTTTGAGAGGTTATAAATAGAAGAGGAAATATCCGCCTGATGAAAGATGCCCACAAAGAGGGGGTTGTTCCACAGGGTCATAAGTTCTTTGTACTACCCAAGTCAGAGGGAGAAGTACTATCAGCATATTGTGATCGTGGACATTGCTTTGAGGGCGTTGATAATAAATGGTTCAGGGCATTTTGTTCACAGGGTGAGTGTAGACGCTAGAACTATAGGAGAGTATCTTATAGTAGGGTATTATATCCCCACCGGAATGATTGATGATATGAGTAGTAATAAATATAGTAGTACTATCGCTGAACAGGATGATCTGTTGTGGTGTCATCAGTGTACTTATCTAGGTTAACAGGCAATGGTGGCTATTATTCAAGCAACCCAGAATTAACACCGTCGAGCATTCTAATGATATAGATAGTATACCTAAGTTGCTAGAGGTGCTGGTGGACACTGGGATCATGGCTGTTCATGATGGTGGAGCAAGTGCGGGAAAACCAAAGTAGTAGCGGCGTCACTGAATGGTGGATATAAATGGATCGTGGCAGAGCTGATGGCATCCATTGGATTGAAATTTAGCGACTCGGCAACTGCAAGCGTGAAGCTCTGCTGATCCTGACTTTCCCCAGAACTGTAACATATTTATTATCACTTGCATGATTGAGAAAGAGGGAAAAGGGAAGAGGGAAGGAAAATAAGGAAAGAAAGAGTGAGAGAAAAGCGAGAAAGACAAGGCGCAAAGAGTAACTTTGGCTGTCAGAAGGACCTTTCCGGTCAGCCGATCTGCCTCGTGGCCTGCCTTATGGTGGTCGCTTGAGGTTATCATCCCTCCTCCTCCTCCTCTTCATTCTCTCCTTAAAAGAGTTACCAGGAGAAGACGGCTTTGCGGAAGGCGTTTTCTTTCCTGTCTCATTTCTTCCTTTTTTGCGACCAGCATCAAGATGTATGGGTCGCAATCCGGTCACCAAAGTTCGGCTCCTCCACAGCCCGAATGGCGTCTGCCTTCCAGCACGCAGCAACCAGCTTCATCTCGCCATCATCCTCCGCAACCATCATGGCGAGCTTCTTCCCCGCCGCCTCCGCCGCCTCCTCCGCGAACAACAACAACAACAACATCCTCATCATCCCCGTTCAACCCCACCGTCTACGGTCAAATTTCCAATCCTACCTCAACGGTCAATAATTATCCGGGTACAAGCGTATCCCCCGTTTCTGCCGTTGCGGGCTCCGAAACCACTTCATGGGGAGTGAAGTACAATAGGCACCAACTTCATGCGCAGTCGCCCCCACCACTACCCGTGAGTGTTGTTGAACGCTTATTGATCTACCCCCTGATGGGTTCGCAATTTTCTGACGAGTATATAAACCCAATTAGCCGCGGCCTTCAAGCACGGCGCAATCACCACAGGCGCAGTCTCCAGTTGTGAGCCCGCTAGACCCAAATAAACCTTTACCAGCTGCCCCAGGCTGGGCGACCCAGTCGGCGGATAATACATCCTACCAGCAGTGGCCGTCGAATCCTTCATATGCTCCCCAGCAATCTGTCAGCGCTTCGTCGTTACAGCCTCCACCACCGCCTCCGGCTATATCCACTGGTTACCAGAGCTCAAGTGCCCAGCAGAGCAACCCATGGCAGCAGCCACCTGCGGTTCCTCCTCCTCCCTATTCGGGTGTTCCCCTGGGTCAGTATCAAGATTCCTCAGTGCAGCAGCCAGCGACCTTGCCAAGCAACCAACAAATCACCGGCCACAATGCGCCTAACCCGGCCATTCCCCAAGCCCCAAGCCCCAAGCCAAGCACTGGTTTGCATTATGAGAGTCAGCCACTACCCGGGCCCCCACAGGCTCCCGTGGCTGCGACTCTGAGTCCAACACATGGAACACCGCCCGTCGTTCCTCCACCGGTGCCTCCCAAGACCAGCCCCATCACTGTCCCGACTAGCGCTTCTGTCCTGGCCACTGGCGGTCCTTCGGACTGGGAGCACCTATCTCCCATTCCAGGAAGCATCGATGATTTAGGTGCATTTGGTTCCCGGCCCCAGGATGGGTCCTCTTCAGAGCCACTGTCGCAGGTGTCTCAGAGTCGCCCTCCAAATATCGGAGAGCCTGTAAGAAAGGATGAATCCGTGAGCCCCATTACGCCCCCGAACAATGCACCCCAAATGACAAGTCAGACTGAAGGCCCTTTGGCTAGTCAGACCGTGGTAAGGGGTGATCCACACCAACCAGTCAGGATGGGTAGTACTGGATCTGTTTCTAGTGATATCTCCACCTCTGAAACCCCTGAGAGCATTGACGGCATCATTGAAGCTTGGAATCGACCTATCTCCTCGCAACCATCAGCTGAGCAGAATCCTCAGAGCTCAGCGTCTGGGGTCAGGGCAGGGATCTTGCCTCCTTCGCGGAAGCAGAGCCCCATTGGGACCCCGACGCCTAGACAGGAATCGATAATTCCTCGAAAGCAAGTTCGGTCTGGGTCGAGCTCAGTGGAGTCGAGCAGCGTCACTAACGGCCCAACTACGGACAAACGGACAATCCTCCCTGCCTTTGTACCACTTGATCCGTACGATGATTTGGATCCCTGGTCCAAATCCTCGTTGGAACGTTACGTTGCAATGCTACGAAAGGAGGCAGTGGCTGATTCCGATGCGGAGCGTTATAATATATTCACAGCTTTCATGGCTAAGGAGACCAAATTACGAGAGATCCTATTCAACATTGAGCCTGAATCGACGCGTTTGGGTGAGAATCCTAAAGAGAGTTCGCGGCAACCAACGCCCACTCTACGCGCATCGACCAGTGTGTCTAATGATGACGCGGATTCCGGTCTGATCCCAGTCGAAACCGAAGGCGGCCATGTGGTCTCGACTACTGACGATGCCGACTCGGAAGATGGAAGCTACAGTCCTGGAGGGCGTCCCATTCTTCCCAGAATACAGACACCTGGCGCAACGAAGTTACAGAGGTCTGCCTCGCATACAGTGAGCAATAAATACAACACTGATCACGTTGCTCATGCTACGTCATCACGGGCGACATCAGTGCCACCCTCCATGCTCGGTGATGCCCGACAGGAACATGCCTTGCCCCCTCTGACTACCAATCCTCCACAGCCGATTTATATCCCATTTCGCTATACTGAAGGCCCTCAGCGGGGCTCTGATGTGCTTGTGTTTGATCGGCCTGCATATCAAGCCTATTCCGACCTGCGGCAGGCGTCAGCTGAGAGTGGGCGGGTAATGTCAAATGCTCCAGCACCTGCTCCCGGAGAAAGACCGGATTCAGCAGTGCCCTCGCGTCGGAATGAACATGATGAAACGTTCATTGGGCTGATAAGGGAGAAGAGCGTTGCCTACCGAAAGAGAGCACCCCGGAAAACATCCTCTCCGCCACCACTGCCGGCTGCTCTCAGACATGGGAAACCAGCTGGTCCAGTTGACGACTTGCGGTCAATGGCTTCGTCACCGCTGTCTAAACAATCAGAAAGCTCGTGGAACATGACGACTAGGAAGGATCTGGAGAATTACTCTAGTGACTTCTCGTACATCAGGGAGGCGGTAAAGTCTTGGGAAATTTCCAGCAAATCGCGCAGAGAGCAACTGGATAAGGAGCGGATCCACCGCCAGGAAGTGTCGGAGAAGCGAATTGATGCGCTCTTTAATGGGAAAGAGATTGGCTATGCCGATATCAACGTGCTGGAGGAGGAGTTCCGTCAGAAAGAGGCTCGCGCCCAGCTAGACGAAGAAAGACAGGAGTTGGACAAGTTTGTCGCCGAAGTGTTCGAACCTTTGGATCAACGTTTGAAAGAAGAAATAGCTGCTCTTCAGGCGCTCTACGAAGCCGCGCTTGCTCAACTTGATCATGAAAATGGACGGACCAAGTCTGCGACCACTGATAGGTACAATTTGTCGCACACAATGAGGACGGTGAATGAGATTTATCGCAAACTCGAGCTACGCTACCAGAAACGTCTCGAAATTGCTTTGGATAGGGAGCGCCGGCGGAAGAAGGCTGAGAGGCGACCTCTTGTTTTCATGGGCGACTCCGTAGCCCTGAAAGGCGTGGATCAAGAATTCGACCAGATGGAGAAACGGAACATCCTCGAGGCGGCTAGAGAGCGAGATAATAGAGCTAACCGACTGATGGACTCGTTTGATGATGCCATCATGCACGGGTTGGGTGAAAACCAGAGCCTCCTTGACGAAGTTGCCGCGAAGGTGGCCAAAGTCGATACCGCGACCATTCGCTCGTCTGGGCTGCCAGAGTCCGAGGTGGAACAGTTGCTGAAATCAGTATATAACCTGATCGAGTCTTTGCGTAAAGACTCTGAGTCCATCTTGCACAATTTCAATATGGCTGATTCGGTACTCAATGATGCTGATTACAGTGTTTCTGTGGCCGAGGCGCGTTATTCAGACGCCGATGCCGATGTTTTCCGCCGACTCGATGATGAAAAGAGGAAGGAAGACACGAAAATCCAAACGGATCTGAAGACCAAACTCGAGAGTATCAGGTCTGGTCCTGCAAATATAGTTACTAGCATAAACGGCCTTCTGGAGTCTCTAGGCAAGCCTCCTATCATTGATCAAACTGGTCCTTCATCACAGATGCCAGCCGATACACCTGCCTCAGTATCGCAGCATCTCCCTGCTGAAATTGCACCACAAAAACCCCAGGAAGATCCAGAGCATCAGGAAAGGCTCCGGAAAGCATTGGAGAATGCGAAAAGGAGAAACGCAGCGCGGGTGAACACTGAAATAAGCCGCCCTTGAAGGATAGCCATTGACTACTTTCTGCCAGACAGGCATTTGATGACATGACGAATTTCATATTTTGACTCTAGTAGACAACGGTAGAGTCTCTTAATTTCTAGTTTTAACTTTCTTTCTCCGCCCTATTCCCTGTCTCAGTCGTTCTCCATCTGATCAATAGTATAGGCCTGTTCAGGCTTTACGAGTTCATTGTTACATAAGCTACGTAGGATCAAAAGAGAGATCGAGAGTATATGATATATTGTCTCATTGCTGTCTGTATTGGAATTCTTGAAGGAAGAGAAAAGACGAAGAAAAAAGTCGGCGTTGGAAAGGAGGCTCTTGCTGTCAGTGGTCACGGGTCCAGCTCCCCACAAGACAACTCGCACTCACTTTCGGTCAAAACACCAAATATTTTCGATCACGCAGGAATTACAGCCACATTGCGCTCCTGCACTGAATGGCTCATATTCTCCTGGCGCTATTTGTTTATATGACGGTTTTGAAACAGCAATCCCTCGTTCAGCGCTAACTGAGGAGTGACCGAGCACCTTTGGCTGTGACCCTCGAGCTTCTCTTTGGCGCCGTCAGGGTTCGACTCCACCGTGTTAAGATAAGCATACCATAATATGGTGATTAATGAGTAATTCTTCGTGAATACTTCGGAGCTGATTAGCCCGGTGAGTGCAGAAGTTTCAAGCTCATCAAACAGGGACCCAGTTTACGGAGCCCAAGGCATGCACTATGGGAAATACCGGAGCTCCCAGAGTCAGAGACCCCATTGTTACGTTATCGGCAGGAGAATTCAAGCAATGATACACACCAGAATTTACGAATGCTAGCCAGTCTTGCGATGACATGGAAGGTAGCCACGGTAAGGGGACAGGTGGAAGCACCGCACACAGCCTCAGGGTGGCTCCTCTCTTCGATCCAGTGGTACAGGCTTGCACTGCACTGAATGTCGCAATCTAGTCCAGCTCGGAGTCTCCGGTGGTCGCAGAGGGAAGGAAGAGATAGGCGTCCCGAGTGTGTGGTCGAGAGAGGGGCGCCTATTATTCCCTTCCCGCAAACTCTCTACAAGCGAATCGTGGGTCGAATTCACCCACCGTGGAAATCTATTGTATCTGAAGACCAAGATCCTGAGGCAGCGCCGCTTGTGCCACATGGAGAGAACCTCTAATCAGGCTGCATAATGCCGCAGAGGTGGTACAAGAGAGATTGCGGCGCATCACGAAATCCGGTACCCTTACTTGCGGCCTAAGGCGGATTCGACAAATTGGAACCCGCGGCCCAGAAGTCTCCCTCGGACTCAAGTACGAGGCTGAGTAAGGGAAATCCCTATCTTTCGACCATTTGATGGCGTAGAAATGCAGTGCCACAAGATGCATATGTACCACAAGGAATGATAATCGATAGTATAATTTTCACCATAGGAAATCCTGCATTGGATACAAACAATATGCTGGCAAGGTGTGAAGAGGAGTTGCGCAGCTTGCGGCAACACAATCCGAAGCCAGTGCTTCGACCGCGTATCCCTTTTCCTAGCGGTTGCCGCCTGACATTGGAGCCTGTGCCAACTGATCAAGTACCTGCTGCAACGGTGCAGATTGTCAAGGGCCTGTGCAGTATTCCTCCGACACTTTTAACTATGTTTACAGGCTAGTTGGATGTGCCAACTCGGCTGCACATTATGATTCGTACACATAAGTGCGCATGATCGCCGTCTGGCTCTTACTATGGTTCAGCCGGGAGGATCCTGTGATTTCATGGTTCTCCTGCCGCTACTTCTAATCCTATAGCTACTCGAACTCTCTCTCCCAGCATCCGACGCAGCTTGTAGTAGGCCTACATCTGTGGCGCAGAATCCTCATGTCTCCTGTGCCAAGTGGGTAGGCGTTAACCGGACACACTAACCGCAGATTGGGGGGGGATCCAGATCATTGTGGAACGTGTATGCTTGGATATATCCAAACGATGGCTCATTTACTCTTTATGCGGCAAAGTCGGGGCCACTGACGGTGATTCTGAAGGCTTAGTGGTGAGTCAAAATACCAACAGTAGTTCATATGGAAGCTTCCATTGTCTCTTTGGTCGCTGTGGCAGAGGCGATTGCGGCAAGCTTGGAGCAGTTGCTGGTACAATGTACCCGCTTCCTTCCTTGGTTCGGAACAAACTCTATATAAACTGACCGGTCTCGCCGTTGGAGGCCAACGAATACAAATCCTAGCCAGGGGACACTCAAGCCACAAGTAAAATCTATTGTCATATAACACTCAATGTCTGCTCCCACCAAACAATTTCACGGCCTTTCAATAACCGGTGATATGTCGACGACACGCTCCCAGCCCGAGAAAGAGCCACACACAGACGATAGCGACAGCAGCGAGCTCCTGAGAAGCGAAAGTGAGGAGAGTCATGCTGAGGAGGGGGATTCAGCTGCCTCTTCGTCCGTACGAGGAAAGTCAGGGATCACCTATGATCTCGCCAGGCTTGACTCCGACACCGAAGCCAGGGCTCTCGTTGGGCTAACGAGTCAGTTCAAGGTAGTCAGCTGCTGTACGACACGAACAGGGTTTGATTTCCAATTCATTGAGCAGCCCCGAGTTCATCTCGGTCCAGAAGGGTATACGTGCACCTGCTCGACCTTCTCAGGCAGGCCCAACGTGGCCTGCCAGCACATTTTTGTGAGCAACCTCATGCCCCCACCTCGAGTAAAATTTTCCTCTCTCTCTTCCGGTTTCCTAACACTCAGTGAAAGTGGCTTCTTGATCAGCTTCATGGTTGCTTCATCCCTCAACCTCCTCCCTCCGACATTCTTCTGTCGAGCGATGGACGTCTTCCAAACTTTGGTCGCGTTGAACAACTGCTGGATGGCAAGCTGGAGACCATTGCGGATCAGCTGAGTTGGCAATATGTTCGCTCCGAAGCCGAAGGTGGGATGAGCCGGCAGGACATAGTCCGGGACATCTTGTCGGCCTTTAGTACGGTGATACTGCCTGAGGAGTTTCGTCTCGATCTTCTTGATGATGCAGGACAGTCGCGTACCCCTGAGCAGTGTGTTGTACAGGGAGACTTTGAAGCCACAATGTTTCGGCTCGCCGTGCACGACGACGGAGTATATTCCAGCCTATGCAAGGCGATGCCCATTGCAGCATGCGCCGTGATCTTCTTTGACAAAGTGCATCAAAGGCTGCGGAAGCTACTAGCAGACTTCGACCGCTATTGCCTGATGGGGCAGGCTTCAAATAAGGCTGGAGGAATGGACGTGGAGACTGTCATTCTGGAAATTCAAGAGAACGTCGAGCGCGTCCGGGAAAACATCATCGCTCGAGCACCGCATGGTATGGAAGGGGCTGCGAAGACCCTGGTCACATTGCTGGAGGATATCTGCGGCCGTAATAAGGATGCGCTGGAGGGGAACGAAAGTGGTCGAGTGACATTCCACGGGGAGGATGAGGATCAACGCAATCTCTTTCACCAGCTTATTGGCAAGGCCGATGAAACTGGTGAATTTTTTATCCTCGATGCCTTAGAGCATGTACCAGCTATGGCTCTTCACCAATTCGTGGGCAGGTTGAAAGCTATTCTACACCGGATTGAAGTGGACCGAGCACCCAAAGCCTATATACTGAGACTCGATGCGTTGATACGTGCTGCGGAGTCACCTATTGCCAATGCAGGTCAAAAGCGACCGTCTTCATCTACAAGTCGGGGCTACAGCAAACGCACACGGTGAGGAATCTCAGGGTTTCATTCCCCTACTTTGGAGTGAATTACCAGTAAATTCTGTTATTGCATGGTTTGGGCGGCTTTGTCATTGATACGCACTATACACCACTGTTTGCATTGCGAAGCGCGAGACTGTTTCAATTTGATTAACCTGATAGATAAGCTACAACAATTCTCTTGGTCCTACTATACAGCTAGCCTGGCACCGGTCCTCTACCCATGACGTGATGATAGCTTTTCCCTTTTGCCTCTTAAGCTTCTGCGTTGTCCCTTTTGCAAGGGAATAGCACCGCCACGGGCTACCACGGTACTTGTCCAACTTTGTTAGCGGGATGTGACACAAGCACCAAAGCAGCTCCCAGACAGTCCCATGGTTGCATTCGTACCAGAGGAATGTGTCCTGGCATGATCACCCAACCTTATTACCACTTACTGCGTGCTTCAGGACCCGAGGGAACGGTTCAAATTCCGAACGGCCGCCCCAGGACCAAGGTTATCATCCCTAAACCGGCCATTAAGCAAGGGACAACAGCCTGGTTTTCCCTCGCACCCAACTACCCATTCCAAATCTACTCTTTTTCTGGTATCATTGAATCGCTGGGTCGGTTTCCCCGAAGCAAAGCGCCCTTTCAAAATTTTGTTCATGACGTCGGCCGTGAGTTCTGGCAGGTAGACCAATGAGGTTCTCCCGGATAAAGTTTCACATGTCCTACTATTTCACTCTGTACATACCCATGTCTGAGTGAGACCCTCTTTACCAGCTGCTCGGTACTCTGGCCCGTGGACTTGGTACTTAGTAGTGGTCGTTGTTGGGCAGAAATTGCGAAGTAGTACGTAGCTATGAAGTTATCTACCATCAAAATGCAGCATTGAGGAACTGTTTTGAGTAATTGATCCCTTCTTTCAGAGTCGTGCTCTAATTCCCCCGAATGAGCTCATTAATCGCTATAGTTACTGAACAATTCTCCGACCTTTCCCCTAATCAATACCCTTTCTCCATTTCCAGTCTCTTAAACTTCTTGGCAGTGCGCACACAAGAAGGAAGCCGACGTATGCCACCACCACCACCTCCGTCCTAGCACTAGTTACCACTACAAGTAGATAAACTTCAATAGATACTACCCTGCAGATCCTCCGTAACATCCCTATCCTCTTATTTATCGCCCAGAAGGTGGGCCAAGCAATTCAATTCCCCGCAATCTGTGAACAAAGAAAAAAACGAGAACAGTCTCATTTCTACCTAAAAGGTATCAAATACACAGAATTAGGTCGACAATTTTGCCACTAAAACCACCATTTACTTACTACCACAGCAAAACACCCCCACACCGCCCGACCGGCAGATCCTACCGAGCCTCGTCCCGGAAATAAGCGGATTTAGGAAGAAGACATACAGGCCTGGGAGGATTGTTGCGACCTGTGCCACCAAAGCGTGTCATGCGTGTCCCATGTGTGTGTGTGTGGGGGTTGAGTGGTTAAATTTGGCTTATGTGGGCAAAAATGTGACGCTATTTTCAACAATTGGCCGGCTGGCCCAATGGTAAGGCGCTTGACTACGGATCAAGAGATTGCAGGTTCGAGTCCTGCGTCGGTCATTCTTTTTTGCTTTCTTTTTTTCCCTTTCATGGTATCTTTCGTTGTCTTGTCTTTTGGACTGTTTCGTGAATTCTTTCTTATTGAGAGTTTAGGTTGGTTAACTTCAGTTGTTGCATAGCAAGCAGTCTATGTGTCTCTTTGTGAGATTTTTTGTTGTCGGTCTTTCGTCTCTGATCACGAAATGTCTATTTGTTTTACTAGTCTTAAAATGGTGTTTCCTTTGAGTGCATTCATTCATCGTGTTTGTTAAATATACTTAAAACTTCCATTGAACCAGCTAACTCCGAAAATAGACCAACACCAAGCCACAGACATCGATCACATTAAGACAAATCGAGAACAACCCTCCCCTGCAACTTCCCCTGGCTCATCTCCTCGAAAACGCCGGTCAAAGCATCCATCTTCTCCGTCCGGAAATGGGCCTTGATGATTCCCCTCGCCGCGAAATCCAGTGTCTCGATCGCATCTCTCTGTGTCCCGACCGCCGATCCGGTAATGGTATAATGCTGAGCGATCATCTTCCCAGGAAACGCGGTCGCAATAGGTTGCGGTGCGTTCTCAGGGATCCCCACGCACACGAGGGTACCGTTGAAGCGCAGGAATGGTACTGCCTGGGCATAGGCTGCGTTGGCTGCGGTGCATACGATGACGGCGTGAGCTCCCAGGCCACCGGCTAGGGATTTGACATGGCTGGCGATGGCTTGGCCCTTGTCGTCGGAGGGGAACTTGGTGATGTCGACGAAGTGCTCAGCTCCGGAGGCCTTCACTAGTTCTTCTTTGCTGCCGTGGTCGACTCCAATCACTCGGAATCCCATGCCTTTGCTGGCGAGTTGCACGGCTATATGGCCTAGGCCGCCTCCAGCGCCGGAGATCACAACCCATTGCCCTGGTCGGGCGTTGCTGCGCTTCAGGGCCGCGTAGACGGTCACGCCGGCGCAGAGCATCGGCGCAGCTTCGTCTGATGCGAGGCCGTCTGGGATCGGTGTCACGTAGTTGGCGGGGCCTAGGGCGTATTGCTGGAATGTACCGGGGGTGTAGTATCCGGAAACCTTCTGCTTAAAGCAGATTCCGTCGGCGCCCGCCTGGCATGGTTCTGGTAGTTGGAAACGTCAATATGGCCTGCTCGCGATTATGGGGCTAAGATAACTGGATGCGTACCGCAAGTCTTGCATACGCTAGAAACCCATTTGATTCCAACCCGGTCACCGATCTTCAGGCCTGAAGACTCGGCTCCAGGGCCTAGCTTGACAATCTTACCGACACCTTCGTGGCCGCCAATCTGACCTGGCTGTGTGGGATAGGGTAGAGATCTCCACTGGACGAGTTAGGAGGGTGCTTGAGCCAGAGGTAGGTCTATATACTTACGGTGTTGGTCATTACTCCAAGATCGGAATGACAGACGCCTGAATGGGTTCTACAGAAAGCCATTAGTCCGATGGATACACTCGGCAACTGGATGGATTTTGTCCAGTCAATCGGGGCTAGAAGGTCACACCACATACAGATTGATCAAGACCTCGCCCGTACCCGGCTCGGGCACATCTATCTCTACGACCTTGGTGGAGACAGTGCCGGGCTGGTCATAGATGGCAGCCTTCTGCTTTGCAGGAATTTCCGGTACAGCTGTACTGCCATTGGCATTATCAATAGGCCCAGTCATCTTCGAAGTGTACTGATATCTTCGGTGTTGGACGGAGAGGAAGGAGGGCCGATGAAGAGTGCGAGGAGCGAGACTCAGAAGCTGCAGATCAAGGAAGCAGCCTCTCTTTATCACTGCGGGACCCAGCCGACGCGCTAAAGGGACTGGGATCATCCTGATGGATCATTGTTGAGACGGGCCAAGAAAGGCGTATCCCATGCTGGTGTGGATAGTTGATTCAAAGAAGCATTAGAGGTCGTATGTAGCCGTAACCGAGGCACAAGCTGGAGGCGAGTCACATCGTCATTCACCGAACCCCTCTTTTTCCTCGCATACAGAGCACGCTTGATTTGCCAAGTGCCAGTGAAATGAGAAGCCAGTTCAACGGAATTCCGGATATCACCCCCGCCATTACCTAGGTATCATTTGAAAGAACCCCGCATTCGAAGTCAGATTGTGTCCGTTGCGGAGTGTGATTGGCGAGGAGTGACGGACAGCCCCAAAATTGTGGTTCAGTCGTGGAGTTTAGGGAGAACACAAAACTGAGGACAAGCCCAGAGCAATCTACCCCGGTATATAAAGCTGCCACTGTAGCTGCCGAAGGTCCTCAGTAATTGCCAAGGGATCTAGCCAATGTGAGAGGGAAGCAGAGGGCGAGAGAGAGTAGAGTGAAAGAAGATTGGTCGTGATGTGCATTATGGACTGCCAGCGCTCGGGCTAATGCATCCCCGATCATCATCCCCTCGCCTGCTGACTCGAATTGCATGATGGCCACCAGAGCTGGATCACTACTTCCCCTCCTTTGATAATTGTTCCTACTCTCACGTATGCTGCTTTTCAGCTTTGTAGGTTTTCTTTTCTTTCTATAATCTCACCTCCCAATATCCATCCCAAGCACTCGCTCAACCCCGCATTCTCGGGAAGATCACCAGCTCGACCCCTCACAAGCACACGAAACACGAACACAAACAAAGAAAGAAAAGAGAAAAGTACACCCACGACAATGCCAACCCCAATCATCGACTCCCACATCCACCTCTTCCCAGCATCCCATCTCCCCACGCTGGCCTGGTATACACCCTCCAGCCCACTAGGATCCCAGCACTCCGTCGACGAATACCGCCTCGCAACCACCTCCATTCCCACATCCCCCGAAACAACAACAGACTCACACTACCTACGGGGCTTCATCTTCCTCGAAACCGACCGAATCTCCTCAATTGAAGAATCAGATCCAACCCGTGGCTGGTCCCACGCCCTCGACGAAGTCTCCTTCCTCACCCGGATCATTACCGGAGACCCCGTCCCCGGGGAAGGACACAAAGATGTAGATCGCCACCTCTGTCTAGGTATGGTACCCTGGGCGCCTGTTCCCGGGGGTCCTGCTGCGCTGGAGAAGTACATTTCTCTAGTGAGAGAAAGGACTTGCACGGAGGAAGTATTCAGAAAAGTCCGCGGAGTGCGGTACCTCGTTCAGGATAAGCCGAGCGGAGTCATGTTGCAGCCCGAGTTCATTGATGGGTTGAGGTGGCTAGGACGGCAGCAGTTGGCGTTTGATCTGGGGGTGGATGCTCGTCAAGGTGGCATTTGGCAGTTGAGGGAGGCGGCGGAGATGATGAATACGGTTTATCGGGGGGTTGGGGAGAAGAAGGATAGGGTTAGAATCGTTATTAGTATGTTCATCCACCACCTTCTGCCTCTATCTTTAATCAGAGTTTATGGTTGGTATTTGCTTGTTGCTAACGAGCTGTCTACAGACCACTTGTGCAAGCCAAACCTTCGTCTGCCGTACACATCGCCCGACTCGATAGCTACGCATCCTGATTTCCTGGAGTGGAGCTCCCTGATCACAGCCATGGCACAGCATCCGACAGCGTATATGAAGCTTTCCGGTGGATTCTCGGAGCTTCCCCCGCTGACGGCGGAATCGGAGCCGGATATTGCTTCCCTAGTCGACCAGGTCCAGCTGTGGATGGACGTGGTCTTTGATGCATTTGGGCCGGAGAGAGTCATGTTTGGGTCTGACTGGCCGGTGTGTAATGTGGGTGGAGGCGGCAGTGCAGTCGCCTGGAGACGGTGGAGGAGTGTGGTGGAGGGCATCTTGGAGAAGAGGGGCTTGTCACAGGAGCAGAAGGAGGGTGTATGGGGAGGAGTTGCAGTCAAAGCATATGCGATTGAAATCTAGATAGTAGTACTTAATTCGATTCATATGCTAGAAGTATGTATGTACACCGATCGCCATAACCAAGTATGTCCACATCAGAGAGATCATCACAATAATATCGTTTCATTTACTGAAGATTCACGAAAAGTCCCCCATCCACAAGTATCTGCGCTCCAGTCTATTGATTCACATTAGCAGCCTCTTCCAGAACATCCAACATAAAGCTGAGAGAAGAAAACTTACCACATAACCACTCAACTCCTCACAAGCCAAAAACACCGCCGGCCCCGCCAAATCCGGTGGCTGACCCAACCGCCCCAACGGAATCCTGCCCTCCATATACGTCCTCTTCACCGGATCACTCATATCCTCATCATTTAACTGAGTCCGGATCGTTCCCGGCAGCAGCGCATTACATCTGATGCCGTATTTGCCCAACGCCACCGCACACGACTGCATAAGACTAAGCACCCCCGCCTTGGTGGGCGTGTAATGCGTCTGCTGTCCACCCCCAACAAGTGCAGAGATAGAACTAATCCCGATAATGGAGCCTCCCGGTGGCGATTGAGCCAGCGCCATTTGTCGTGCTGCTGCTTGTGTTGCCCAGAATGCGCCACAGAGGTTGGTGTTGATTGTGTGGCCGAGGAGAGGGGGGTCGACTCTACACAGTAGGCCAACATAAGGCAATTAGAAATGGCTCTTCCAGACGGTAGACAAACAGAAGGGGAGTTAGCAAATGGGTGGTTTGACCACTTACTCGAGAAACTCCTCGAACTTGCACACTCCCGCATTACTCACGAACACATCGAGTCGTCCAAAGGCTTCCACGGCTTTGGCTACGAACTCCCGCCCCGTCTCGGGCTGTGTTACGTCTCCTGCGACGAGGATGAATCTGCTGCTGCTCTGCTCACTGTCGTTATTGGATCCGATAATCTCAGATACGTCTTTGCGCATCGCTTCGATGAGGGGCTCTTCTTTGGATCCGCCGAGGTGGTTTACGGCTACTTTTGCGCCGTGGCGGAGGTATTCGAGAGCGATGGCCTAGAAAGGAGATCATGTTAGACTGGCCTTGGGAATGACTGTGAGTTCAATTGTTTGTGTCTGCTCGCCTTACCCTGCCAATACCGGTTAAACCGCCTGTAATGGCGGCGACTTTGCCGACTAGGATTTGGGGGAGAGGCATTATTGTTATGGGTTGATTGTGGTTTATGGTCGATTGGGGCCTCTGGAGGAAATTGAGCGGTTGACGTGAGGAATACTACCAGCTTATAGCCCTGGATTTAGAGCTCGTCTTGTGCTGGTAATTCTGGTCAACCCCGCCGGGGAGATTCAGATAACCAAAGAGTAAATCTACGTTGAAGTGGAGTCGGTCTCGGGCTTCTCGTGGGATTGTTACCCCGAGACCACCCCCACATTCGGCTTTTACCCCACACCGGAGGATTTGTTCCCAAGTCATGTCGAGGATTGTTCCATTGCCCCCCTATCTATTGTTCTGAAGAAAACTGAAACAGAAAAATGGTCATGTGTACATGCATAGTAAGTAAATGCTAATTTCGTCACAGATAGGAAATATGCCATCAAGCATCTTCTAGAAAAACCGTCAAGATTTTCGTCGAAATACTGCTCAAGTAGACTCCTGCTGGTTCTCAGCTGGAGCAACCAGTGCCTTTTGGGGCGCAGGAGTGAGAATTGAAGCTGCTGGGATAAGTGACGCAGCAGGGTTTAGCTCGAGGCCGAAGCCCGGCTTGTCCAGGATCGAGACATCCAGGTATCCCTTAGTAGGGATCGGCTCGTTGAGGAAGAGGTTTCCGAAGACGGGCTCAACAGTGTGTCCATCTGCAGAGTTGGCGAGGTATTCCTGGAAGGGTGTATTGGGTTGCGAAACCACAAAATGGTAGGAGTAAGGTCCAGATGCGTGAGGAACAACGGGGAGGTCGTAGGCACTGGCAAGGGCGGAGACCTTGAGCAACTCCGTCATACCACCGACCCACATGACATCCGGCTGCAGAATGTCCAAGTTACGGCCCTCCACGAGCTTTCGGAAACCGTACCGCGAGTACTCGTGCTCTCCGGTGGTGAACTTGACAGTGGGGTGGGCTCTCTTCAAAAGCGCATGACCGTCGAAGTCATCCGGAGTCAAGCATTCTTCCCACCAGTCAATGTTGATTCCTTCCGCCTCACAACGCTTGACCAGCTCAATTGTGTATGGAACGTTCAGGGACATGTAGCAGTCGACCCGCAGAGGGAAGTTGGGACCGACTGATTCCCGCTGCTTGCGAAGGTACTCAACGTTCTTCAAGAGTCCTTCCGTACCCTCGTCAGGGCCATGGGGAAGAGCGACCTTGGCTCCGGAGAAACCCATGGCCTTGGCCGAAGCGGGCTGAGGACCAGTGCAGTAGAAGTCCAGACGCGAACGCGTAGCGCCGCCAATGAGCTTGTAAACGGGTTCGTTGCGAATCTTGCCCAGAAGGTCCCAGATAGCCAAATCAATCACCGAGATGACGGCAACAGGGAGACCTTTTCTGCCATAGAACATCGATCCCCGGTACATCTTCTCAAACAGGTCATTGGTGTCTCTGGGGTCTAGAAGATGAGATACAGATTAGCCTGGCTCATTTTCAGAAGACTGATATTGATAGCTCATACCTGCACCGAGCAAGAAGCGCTCAAAGTGTTGATGGACCAGCCAACAAGCCGGGGGACCACCGAATCCCGTGGCAAATCCCTTAGTCCCGTCGGTAGCTTCGATCTCGACGCAGAAAGAGCCCAGGACGTTAATACCCCATGATGTGCGAGAGCCACGGTATTGTGCCCAGCGAGTCATAGGGGTGGAGATGTTACTGTCAATCAACCAGTGACCTCCTTTGACCTGTTGAATTGAAGAGATTTAGCGATCTGCTCATCATTATCCGGGCGCTGCTGAGCCTACATTATGATAATCACCTCCAGATCCCACACCGTCAATGATGAAGGTGCGGATCTCTTTGATGCGGGGAAATTGTCCGGTAGAGCCCATGTTGGCAGTAGTTTAGCGGAGAGGGTATGGAGGATATCACAAAAGCTAGAGAAGGAGAAGCAGAAGAAAAGAGAGAGAGAGAGAAAGAGAGGGAGATAAACTTCTCCCGGGGAAACTGGAGCATATTTGAAAGCATACGAGCAACTCGGCGTCGAGGGGCAACCCGGCAGACTTTCCCCTCGGCTGGTGATGCCTCGGGACAATGCTACCCCGAGAAGGTCTCCAACCTGCGCAGCCAACCGAATCACAGGGACGAAGAGTAAGTCTTAGTTAGAGAGACATTGGACGGGTGAACGGACCCTAAGGGGCGCCCCATTTCCAAGCAAGTCCTTTCTCAGGGCAAAGGCAAAGGCAAAGGTCATCTTCCCCCAGACCAGAGGGTTCTTCACAAACGGCAGAACGGGTGTGGAGGTCCTTTTGCGGGGGTCCGCGTGCCTTTTCTTGGCTCAGGCAATGCCAGCCCGACGCTCTCTTCGTCTCTCTCATTCCTTCCTATTATTCTTCTCCTTTGCTTCTTTGTCGCTTTCGCTCGCGCTTCGCACGATTTTTGAAACTAGCAGTTGATTCGGTCCAATTTCCCCGATTTCCGCCCCTCCTGCCAGGATGCTTCGTCGCTGCTGATCGAACTGCTGTGGCTGCACCTGTCTTTCTCCCGATAAACCCCGGACTCGCTAAAGTACCATGCCGAACGCTGCTGCAGCTGTCTCTGTTCGACAGACTCCACCACCATCCCGACTTGCTGGCGATCTGGAACGGGATCACAGCGGGGATGAATCCTGGTCCGCTGCCGATAGCGAGAATGATCGTGTTGCGCAGAACGGGTCGAGCGTCCCTCGTGCGCTGAAACGTAAACGACCCCTCACAGTGTCGTACGTACCGTCCCATCCTGCTTTGAACAATTGAAAGCACAGATCTCCCTTTGGCCACATTCCAATGATTGCTGGAACATCTGATCTAAGAGAGCTGTGGCTGGCCCCATACCATTGGACATCTTACTAACGGACTAAGATGCGAGCTATGTAAGCAAAGGAAGGTCAAATGCGGTAGGTATGCCCTGCCTATGTGGTGGCTTCCCCTCACTTTAAAATCCTTGCTACATATCTCCATAATCTAACATGCGCAGATCGAGCGCAGCCTAGCTGTGGGTGGTGCTCTCGCAATGGCCAATTATGCGAATACAAGGAACGGAAAAAGCCTGGACTACGGGCAGGCTATGGAAAGGAATTAGAACAAAGGCTAGGTGCGTCGCTAGTCGTTGAATAACCTGAAGTCCCCACTGACTAGGAATGCAGACCGGTTAGAAGAGGTTATTCAGACGCAGGCTCGCCTAATCGAGACGCATATCATTCAGAGCCAGCCGACTAGGAGCCATGATATCCCCCACCAAGGGCCCTTCTCATACAGCTCACCATCAGAGACGGCTCAGGGTCCCAGTCCCAATAACGCCTTCTATTTCCATGATCCATCATCTATCGTGCCCCAACCGCGTCAGTCTGAACCATCCATCACCAGTCCTTCGGACATATCGGTCAAGAACACCATACAAAATCACCTGGCGAGTGCTATGTCTGCGCCCGTTTCGGTACCACGGTCGACGAATAACGCGCCACAAGCCAATGATTATATGGGAAATGAATCATCGCTGAAAGTTCCGGTCAACCTATATGCCAACCAGGAACAGTTACTGGCAGATCCAGAGCTCGATCTACCCCCGTACGATCTTCTATACGCGCTGGTGGACCTCTATTTTGAACACATCAATACCTGGTGTCCCATTCTTCATCGCCGTACAACTCTCGATACATTCTTCGGACCGTCCCCTCTCGAAGATGCGGACAGGACAGTGCTCTATGCCATCGTTGCAACTACTCTTCGTTTTTCAAGCGACAGTCGGCTTAACGAGCAAAACCGCAAACGATACCATGACTCCTCCAAACAGAAGGTCCTACTCTATGGGCTAGAAAATTCATCAGTAAAGGCTCTCCAGGCTTTGGTAATCCTAGCCCTGGATCTAGTGGGGTCCTCCAACGGCCCTCCTGGATGGAAATTGCTCGCACTGATTACCCGATCAGTGGTCCAGCTGGGACTAGCCGTGGAGGCTAAGTCTTCGCTCATTGCTCCCAGTTATCCGTCTATCTATACTCTTAGGGCGGTAACGCTCCCGGAGCCGGAATCCTGGATTGAGGATGAGAGCAGGCGGAGGCTCTTTTGGATGGTGTATTTCCTGGATCGATATTCTACCATTGCAACCGCCTTTGATTTCGCCCTGGACGACAAGGACATAGACCGAAAACTACCATGTAAAGATGAATACTTTCTCAAGAACCAGCCCGTGGAGACAAGATGGTTCCAACGCTCGAGTGATCGTGCTGACTACGTGACTCGTGCCGAAAATGTCGGCAGCTTTGGACTTTATGTCGAAGTATTGGGTATTCTCTCTCGGATCCATGCTTTCTTGAAACGACCTGTCGATATAGGGGCTTTGTCGGACGTCGAGGAGTGGCAGACTACATACCGCAAGCTGGACAGCGAGTTAACGTCCTGGGAATTTGGCCTCCCAGCCGAATATGCCTACGAGAACTCCTCCCGCTTGTTCAATGGATCCAAGTTTACTAAGGGGATCCATTGTGACTGGGTCCAACTCCATGCCACTTACCAAACGTGAGTATTCTTACCATCTCGATCACATGCAATCGCATCAAGGAATCCTAACATTTACCCATACAGTGCGGTTATCCGGCTCCATTCATCAGCAGCGTATCCCACCACACGATCACCAATCTTCACCCCCTCATACAGCGCAAGCCAGCGATGCCTGCTTGCAGTGGACAACATCCTCTCCGTGACGCGCTTCGTTGTCGACAATAACATGCTCGACAAACTTGGCCCCCCATTTGCCTTCACTCTCTGGGTATCTGCACGGCTCCTCCTCGTCCACGGGTCCACAATAGCCCACACAGTCAGCCCCGACATCCTCTTCTTCGTCGACACCCTAGCCCAGATGGGCAAACACTGGAAAGTCGCAGAGCGCTACAGCTCAATCCTGCAGCGCGTTCTCGACGAATACGGCGAATACCAACAATCCGGAGTCTCCGACTCGGAACGAGCCACTCCATCCACCGTAAAAATCCTAGCAGACATGCGCCGCTGCGCATTCGATCTCGATTTCCTCATCTCCCGACAACCCCGCACCTCTCCAGCCGGCAGCCAGCCCTCCGAACCACCAGCGACAGTCAGGAATCCAGCACCCAATGAACTCGAATACCTCGACGTCTTCGGTTTCTTCAATGTCCCCCGTGTTCCCGCTGCTCGGGCGACGGATATCCTCAGCCTGGATATTGGCGACCCAGTCAACAATCCCATGTCAGTCAACGGACTGACTGGGACAGGCGGCGGCGGCGGTGGCAGCAGCAATACCAATCACGTCGTTGATGGCTCGCATTCCAATACGAATGAATTCAATATCACAAATTATCTCATACCCACACCGGAAAGTGACTGGCTTTTCCGTCCGAGTGGTTGAATGAAGTCTTCATGTTTAAAGATTGCTACATCTTTGAGGCAGTTTATCGCTTTCACAAGCCATGCTGAAGAACCAAGGGGAACCTATGTGACTCCTGTTCACCATGCCGTACACTGAAACCTGTTAGTTGGACCTTAGGGCTGGCAATGGCGTTCAGCTGCAATCCAGTACTGTTGCGGAAACTGAAGCTATCAGACTGTACTGGCTGGCTGGCTTGATTGTACAATATCACACACAGTCCCGTGTTAAATGTATGTCATTTGATGATGAATTATGATTTTCACGATGTGATGCGATCTTGACAATGAATGCATCACCTGGATGTCTGTAATTTTCATTCTTCGGGCTATCACACACACACGCACACACATCAGGTACTAGAGTGTCCTGAGAACAATTGATAGACAAACAAGGAAAAATTTACATAACTCCCCACATCGTTCTGATACCATTACAAATGCAGACAAAGAAAGATAAAGGAAAGAAAAGAGGGGGAAAAAGAGACGACAAGAAAAACGAGAATGAGAGAAGAGATGAGTCTTGAAAGTAGTGTCATGTTCCCAGAGACGTAATGTAACCAGAGGAGGCCAGTTTCCAGTAGGCAAGCTCCTGTTCACTAAATCAAGATGGTTCCAGCCCAGGAAATTCCAGAATAGCAATGTGGAGATAAGAAAGGTATGAAGGAGGGAATCCAAGTCGGAAATTCCATGTGGTGAATTCCCAATTGTGGATAGAGCACCAGAAGCAGAGAATGTGCATAATTTGAGATGAACGCCACCAATTCATGTTCTGTTAAATCCAGGAGGGGTTGTAAGAGCAGGATATTTCGCGCGAAAGAAGATGGTATGTGAGTCAATCCAAGACACACAAAAACCAAAGTGGATTGCATAGCTGCCATGATCGTGAAGTTGGGATCTCACTTAGTCCGTCCGTAGTGACTAGAATACTGTATTTGCCCAGTATGTTTCAGTTTCGACCCGCTGCAGACGGGCTATTCTCGCAGTGAGTGGGTAAACTGTCATACTAGCCCAGGTTTCAAGAGGCAAATCTGGCCAGTCACTCGTGCTATGCTCGAGTATAAACTGGGGCAACACTTAAGCCCTGCCTGGGTTCGAATCTGAGTCAGAAGGCTCAACTCGGACAAGGATCTCTTCTAGAAATCCCTCTAAGAACGAGGTCACTTGAGCGCCCATTCCCACGGGTGCCTCGTTGTCCCAGCGTTCAAGCTTCGTAAACATGCCGTAGATATCGCCCACCAGGTTTTCCATCATTCCATGGACATACTCCTCACGTGTTTGATATTCGCTAATGTTGCCGTTAGCATCCCTCGTTGCGTTAGGTGAAATGAGCTCCAAGCGCCGCGTCCGGCGACGAATGGCCGCTTTGAGAGCAGGTAGTATCACGCTATTTAGAGCTGTGATCTCGTTCGAAGGGGGCGTCTGGGTCTGGCCCTGGATCGCCTCCCGCTCCCGTGCTCTGTCATCGAGGGCCGCATCGGTTGTGGTATTGAGCTGGAGAGGATCGGGCCTCATGGATGAAGGTCGAGGGCCATGTGGCAACGCTTGCTGCGGCCGTTGGGGCTGAGATGGCGGTGACATATGCTTTGGTGCTGGAGGGAGCCGTGTTTGTGGCTGTGCGTATATTGGACGCTGTGGATATGCTTCTTTGGCAGGTCTAACGTTCTGGTTCGCGAGGTTTGAGGCCGGTGGATCTGGCAGGCGTCCTTGATACGATGGAACCTCCGGCAGGTGTGACTGCGGAGCCTTCTGATATCCTTGTAAACCTGGGGGAGCACCCCGCCCTTGCGAGAAAGCTGTCGAAGGCCCTGGGGAGCGATCAAGCTGGAGGAAGCTCAGATCCTCAGCCAAAGCTTGTTGCAGAGCTCTGTCATAGTCACTACCAGGACTCCCTTTTGGCTGACGTGAGACTGGCTGTTGTAGGTGTGAAGGTGTCTGAGGTGGGACATCCGATGATTGTTTGATAGGTGAAGGTGGCAAGGGAACCTTGGTGGGCGACAGAGGCTTGGGCATAGCGCTAGGCACGTTTTTCGTCTGCAGGGGTGTAGGAGGCATATTGCTCTTTGGTCGTAAAATGTCCCGACGGTGCTCGTCTTTCATGTTCCACTCATTGGCTTCATGGCTTCTCGCGTTCATGTCCGCTTCTTTCATCGCCTTGAGAGGGGGTGCTCTCCCTGCCGGCCGCACGGTGCCAAAGTCCCACAAATCGTCTTCTTCCTCAGGGGAAGGCGTCTTGGGTGGAGGCTCCTGAATGTCTTCATCATCAGCCCCCCTATTACCATGGATGGCGTTCCAGCGCTCGTAGCGTTCAATTAGCTCGGTCAGGTAGGTCGTCTTCTTTGCTCTCTTAATGAACGGATGCTCGAGCAGCTCTCTGGCGGATGGCCGCTCCCTGGGATCTCGTCTCAAACAAAGTTCCACAAAGTTTTTGAACGCTTTACTATAATCGCCTTGCAAGACAGGTGGGGGGTTCTTGGGAATCAAGAATAACACCTTCATGGGGTGGATGTCCGAGTAAGGAGGCTCTCCGTTGGCCAGTTCAATTGCAGTGATTCCGAGAGACCAGATATCGGCCTTGTAGTCGTATCCGGATTGCTTGATCACCTCCGGGGCCATCCAAAATGGGGTACCCACGAAAGTATTCTTTTTAGTCATTGTGGCTGACAGTTGACTGGAAACTCCAAAATCAGCCAATTTCACTTGGCCGTTCGAGGTAAGCAGGATGTTTGCAGCTGGCGCCGACATTAGTCTCCATTAAGCGGGGTTAGGTCGAGCGGGATCAGGTGGTACCTTTGACATCCCGGTGCAGCTTCTTATCGCTATGTAGATAGTCCAGCCCTCTGAGTAGCTCTCTTATGATGATCATGATATACTCCTCTGGGATGGTTCCCGGACGCATCAAGTCGGAGCAACTGCCACCGGAACAGAACTCCATGATGATCCATAGACTGGATCCCTTCAAGAAGGAACCATGGTATCGAGTGACATAAGGAGAATTGAGTTCCGACAAGATGGCAATTTCTTGGATGATATCTTCCACCTCATCTTCGGCATTCTCGACATCGATGATCTTGATAGCAACAGAGGCACCGGTACGCTTATCAACGCTGCAAATAATGGCAGTGTAAGCCGATGAAGACCTCATGCATAGGGCGCAATCAGAGCGAGATGAGGGAGGTGCCTGAGCATACATACCCTTTATAGACTCGTCCGAAGCTCCCGCCGCCTGTAACGGTATGACTGAGTTAGGAGAGCCTGAATGCGCGGCAAGATGAATCACACCATGCCCGAGTACGTACCGATGCAGCTCTGCTTCATGTAGATCGTCTCTGGATCCACTAGGCCTTCCATCTTGGCTGTAACTAAACCGCGGGCGGAAAAGGATGTAGAGATCAATTATCTCGCCCGGTTCTGCAACACTTGCAAGTGACAATCAGCGTCTGTCATGAACGAGCGATGATGATGATGATGTCTGTGGTATGCGAGTACCATATGCGTGGAAGACCGAGAACATATAAGAAATAAGAGTATGGGAAGGCAGCTTCGCCGGGGGCGGTTGTGGAGGATCAAGGGCGACATACCTATCGCCTAAGCTAGGCTAGGAGGTGGAGGTAGGGCTTAGATAGGAAACAGGTAAAGAAAGGAGACATTGAATTGCCGGAATAGATAGGGATCAATCAATCAATCAATGATTGCGGTTCAAGGAGAGATGCTAATTAGAATTTCGGCAGAATGCATCGGGCGAAAAAGCTGACGCTCGACTATGATTGTTTTAGGGATGACAACCGGCAACCGACAGTTTGCTGGCTGGAGTGTCTGTGTGTCTCCGAGGGGGGCGGAGGAGGGGGGCAAAGAGGAGGAAGAATGGGTACAGCCACCGATCCTTGCGTGATTTGAAAGGGAAAGGAAACCGGGCGCAAGGGCTGAAAGATGGGGAGGCGACATAAGCTAGGCAGATGAGAATAGATGGAAGAAATGGGAGGGAGAGAATTGATTCCCTTGCATGTCAAGAAGAAGCAGAAGCAGAAGCAGCAGAACAACAACAACAACAACAACAATAACAATGACAATTGGAGACAAGTTGGAACCACGAAACCAGGAACAGGAACCGGCGATTACCAAAAATACCCGCCCGAATACCGGCCACTGATTGATTGCTTGATTGGGGAGCAACGCGGGGTCGTCTCTGGCCGGGCGGTCAAGCTGCTTTGGTTTTAAAAAAAGCCCCCCCACCATCTCTTGGAACCTGTCTTGGGCAGGCGGTGAATAGAGGAATTGCCTACTCTGGTACTTATCTACTTACTGTGGACGCTGTAACAAAGGAGGGAACTGCTCTAAAGTAGAAAGGGATATCAAGGGTGATTGTGTGATTCTTCTTAGATTTCTTTCTCATGAAGCCATTAGATCTCCTCTTTATGCAGACTCGCAGATATAGAGGACAATTACTCGATCAAGTATGACCGGATGTACATGATTGGAAAGAGCCATTCAGGTGTCCTGATGTCGGCGATTTGCTTCCCAGGGAGATGCTCATCCGTGTTAAACAAACATCCATCCCGCAGAGCAGCAAATTGACCCCAAGAGCAAGAGGCCGCAGTCCTGACTGCTCCTTAGGTCCCCGTCCTGGACATCTCCGACTCTCTCCTCAAGTGTCAGATCCCAGTCTATTCCTCAACATAGCCTATCATGACCGTTCCATTCTTCAGTCCAGCATCGGCGACGGTCTGATCCAACGAGTCAATCAGATTGCGGCCCATGGCATTCAGCTCAAACTCCACGCCAGCTTTATCAGCCAAGGGAGGATCAGCCTTGAGCCATTCGTAGATCCGCTGGACAGGATCCGTCAAAGCGAAACGCCGAATCACTCGCCCCGACGGGTGTCGGAACTGAATGCGCGTGGTTGTGGCAGGATCGGCAGGGGGCTCTGTGTGGGGTCGATTGTCCGGAATGGACAAGAAGGCGCTCTGTTCAGGTTGTTCGGCCTCTTCCATTCCAACATCTTCAGCCCGTCCCTTACCCTTCACATCGTCGGTGCTGCGGGTGAGATCGTCGGGATCCTCCATCTTCGGGCCTTGCGACGTCTCATCCCCTAGACTGTTTCTCATTGCCATCTCCATCATCTCTTCTTCGGTCATCGCATCGATACTCTTCTCCTTCTTCTCCGGCTTCCGCTTCGCCACGGGATTTCTCACGTTGTGCTTCAGACTGTATCGATCGAGGAACTCGTGGAGTTGCATCAGAAAGTCCGATGCCTTGATCACGGGAGGCCCCGACCAGACCTTCATCTGCTCTCCAGTCCGGGGGTCAACAATCGCAATGTGGGGATAATTATCTGAGACGTCGCTCGCCTGAAAGTAGTACTGCAGATACGGTCCCGCGCGAGGGTCGTCCTTGGAATATTGCATGAAAATAAAATGCTCCTTAACGGTGTCTCTCACACCCGCATCCTTCCAGAGGTCTCTGTTCAGAACCTGGCAATCAAAGACTGAAGGGTCCTGGATATTGACCATCAACCACTTCTCATTGTCGCGACCTTCCTGACGAGCGACATCCCACGGAAGTCTGGACATGATCTCGAAAGGGGGGCGGTACATCTCAGCCAACATATTAGACTTATTCGACGCCTCGGAAGCTCCTCCAGTCGCTGCGGCCAAACGTTCACGTTCCGAGGTATCGTCCTCTCCAGACCATATCGATGTGTCTCGTTGGTTGAAAATGCCCGGTCGGTCTAAGAAGAAGCAAAGTCAGCTGTGACTGGACAAGACTAGAAATGGAAGGGCAAGGTGAAGTGCTGACTGTTTCGCTGCTGGCGCGCGCGCAGTTGACCCAATATGCTGGCATGCATATCACCGTCGTCAAAGTCCGCTTCAGGCCCCACCAAGGTTTCTGTTGTACGGGCCATCGGCGCACGCACGTTCTCTTCAGCATCTCCTCCGCCGTACATCTCTTCTTGGAGGCGACGGGCCATAGCTGCATCGTCTTCAAACACAGCGTCGTGCGATGGGTGATTCCGAGGCGCAGAGCGAGACTCGTCTATTGTGACGTCGTCATCGGAGTCAACATTGACTACCCCAGACTCATTTCCATAGCCGCCAGCATGAGAAGCTCGCTGTGGCGTGGAGGCCGACGGTAAGGGATCATCAGTCAGTGGCGCACCGCCATTCTCGAAGAAAAGCTGTACGGCCTGCTCAATATTGAAATCAGTCAGCTGCAGATACTGGGTAGCCAGCTCCGGCTTTGAGCCGGTGATTTCAGTGAACTGTGCTACCACGTCGCCTTCCATGGCGGGCGCACGGCACTGGGGTGGGTCTAAGGATGAGACGAAGAAAGAAATATGAGGGGAAACAAGAGATCGCCGTGATGGGAGGAGGGTGTATGCAGCAAGAATCCCAACAGAAAGGTCGCTGGCAGGCAATGTGATGCAAACAGCTGCAAACAGTAATGTCAGTGCTAGGCGGTGATCAATGAAGATGGAGGAATGAAGTTGAGATAGATCCAGATAGATGAGTATGAGTTGAAGAACACTAGAGGGGAGATCTTTGGGAAGACTCCGCACCGGTAAACCAGAAAGTTGTGCAAGGGAATGCAGCACAAACAACCAGGATGCGTGGTGTCAATACTCGGGTGCTATCCGTCAGGTAGAATTGGTGACGCACTTCACAGCATCCGATGAACAGGCGGATAATCACGCGGTCCGACCCTGTGGCTTTCGCGCCTGAGAAGTCAGGCCTGGGCAGCTGAGCAGAACCCCGCGGGAAAAAACGTGACTGGCCGAAGCGCGTCAGCCTCGCTTCTTATCACGTGATAAGATCAAGCCACGCGTGACGCGCTCTCCTTAGCTCGACGCGTCTTTTTAATTATGCCTCCTTGGGAAGATCATCGTGGATACTACTAAGTAGTGTTACCTCCACTCCAACTACTACGACTGCTCTAACATTCTCCCCAATACCCGCTCCTTCCCTTTCATCATTGATCATCTATCTCCTTCTCATCTTATATAAGTCGGTTGCTCTTGCCAGTTACCATCGGACCTATCATATCATGGCTGCTTCGGTCCTCGGTAAGCGCCAGCGAGGTGCTATCGAACCGGAAGGTACGACTTCGATCTCATCAAGTCCCTTTGCGATTCAGTTCAGATCGTATAGCTAACATCCCACTCTATCAGTTCCATCATTACCAGTGCGTCGAGCAAGCAGACGCCGGACACAACAACCTCGCGTCCGTGAAGGCAGCGAGCCTCCTGCACCCCAACCGCGCCAACTTCGGTCACGGACGAGAAACGGCAATGGCACCACTATTCAAGAAGAGCCCCAGGAAGAACCAAAGAATGACTTGGTCGAAAGTGGACAGACAAAGCGTACAGTGCAGGTTGGCAAGACGGCCATATCACCGGTTAAGCGCAGCCATGCTACAGATCCGGTCAATGGTTGGAGTTCTCCCCTGATTTTGCTGTTGAACTAAGACTGATTGATCTAGACGAAAACTCGACGCCAGTTGAGCTCAAGACACCTTCGAAATCAAGGTTCCGCGATGCACTTGATTCCCCTCCTCCGACAACACCGAAACACCGCGTTCAGATCGGCGGGAAATCAATGACCCCGCGCACACCTCGACACATATCGACGCCAACCACCACGCAAACCATATACTCCGAAGCAAGGCAAATGTTTGCGCGCGGAGCAACTTCGACTCGGATAGTGGGTCGGGATACCGAACGGGAGAAATTGACCTCGTTTATACAAGATGGGGTTGATTCGGGCAAAGGTGGTTGTCTGTATGTCAGTGGTCCCCCGGGTACTGGAAAGAGTGCCTTGGTTCAGGAAGTGTGTCACGACATGGACTTGAAGTCTCTCAAAATCGCACACCTCAATTGCGCGAGTATGCGAGGTGCTCGTGACGTCTACAGCAGGCTTATCGGCGATCTCTGCAACGACCATGATGTTTTCAAGAAGAGTGAACCAGATCGGCTACGACTGATGTTCACATCCGACGAGAATGACGATCTGTTTCTAGTCACTCTGGACGAGATCGATCACCTCCTCACCGCGGATTCCGGTATCCTTCAGTCTTTGTTTGAGTGGTCGTTGCAGGAAAAGTCTAGACTCATGCTCATTGGTATTGCCAATGCGCTAGACCTAACTGATCGATCACTCCCGCAATTGAAGGCCAAGAACTTGAAGCCTCGTTTGCTTCCCTTTTTGCCCTACAATGCTGGCCAGATTGCCAGCGTAATCACCAATCGTCTTCGCTCTTTACTTCCTGAAGGTCAAACTGTGGACCCCAATTTTGTTCCTTTTGTTCAACCAGCAGCTATTCAACTGTGCTCGAAGAAGGTGGCATCGCAGACTGGC